GTCTATTTAGCACGCATGTACACGAATCCTTTCGGAAGTGAGTGATGCATGATGGCAACTATCAGCTGTAGTTGTGTTCATAATCCAGACCACGGCAACTAGTGCAACTAGTAAAGGCAACTAGTGCTCAAGTGTATGTGAGCATACGACGCCGGTCTAGTGAATTCTGAAGATGTGCTGTATTCGGCTGCCTCGAGGTTGTTAAATAATCCCCTGACGTACTTAGTGTATATGTGTGAGATTACACAGCCAATCTATGCATGACGTTTCGCAACGTTTCATAATTTTATTACACACGCAACAATAATCTTACAACCCGAAAACAGACAATTTTTGTTGAATTTCCCTTAACGGCAGTCACCAACCATCATCACTTGCGACAACTCTACATGACCGCCATGCAACAAATGCTCATCTGTTAAACTTTAGTGACCAACCCTTACTTTCAAGTAACACCATCGTGAGTCTGTTTCCAGTAGCCTTTCAATGGTTCAATATGGTACAATACATTTTACACAATAGAGGCAAACGATGCATAGTGTCAGCTCTCAGCCCGCATCCTCTCTCCAGCCTTGGTGGCAGCACTTCCATCAGCCTTCACTTCCGTCGCGAGCTTCGTAGTCAACTCGTGGCTAGTCTTTCGTTTCTTCTTCTTATCCTTCTTGGACTTCTTGCCCTTCCGGCTAGTAGCCCCTGACCGGGCCTTGCTCTGCGGTGACATTCCCCCTGTCAATGGTACAGACCGAACAGGCTTGAACACGCTCATATCCGGGACGCTATAGGTGCTGTAGTCAGAGAGCTCCGCGGGGTCTATCTCGCCAACAGCAGACTTCTTCTCAGCTAGGGCCACGGAAATTGGTCGGCAGCCCCAAGCCCAATCTCTGAAGACCCATTCGGGCCGCCAATCAACCAGAGTGCTGTCATCGTTAGTCTCTAAGACCACCACATTGCGATCCTTAGTGAGGCCAATGTTGAGCTTCTGACTCTGACCATCGGAAGAAGTCTCCGCTCGGACATACTCAGACCTCCCAACTACAGCGCCATCTCGTTGATCAAGACGACTATAACGGACCGCAGACGCTGAGAAATTACCACAGCTCTCAACAGGAGGACCATTAAGGCGTTGCAGACTCTCCTTGAGACCACGGAGGACAAAGCGGCCTCTAGATGTGCTACCACCAGCTGCACCGTTACTAACGTCGGCCCCACGAACGGCGCCCGATAGAGGCTTCCTCGAAGACAATCCGCCGCCGAACTTGGTGCTGGTGAACCCGACTTGCGTTGAAGGGACCGGGGCCGTCGAGGGACCGGACTCTGGCACCAACCGAGGTGTTGTTATACTAGTAGTAGCACCAATTGAATGGCCTTCATAAAGTTTCAAAACCAATGCAATTTGACAAAGTATTCTGAATGCTGTAGGATCTGTTATTAGCGGACATATATATCCATACAGCTTCAGGTGTTGGAGAGACCAGCACTCTCGAGCGTCACGCCGTGTCCGAAATGCAAGGTAACCACACTTGGCCGGTATCACCGAGCCACCAAGCCCAGAGGCTCTGACAACAACGGCCTTCTGGAGAGCGTCACGCGCCCGCAAATGGGAAGGGATGGCCTCTCTTGCAGCTCGCAGGAAGGTCTCGTCCGAAGTGACCAAGTCGGGTAACCGCAGTACGCAGATTATCCGACAGTCCACATCGCTGGGCCAAGTCTCATGCCAAGACCCATCCACAGCAGTGCCATAGGACACCGTTGGGGGCGGTACCGTTGCCTGGCCCCGAGCATTGGCAACAGCTCGGGGGGCAAATTCGCGCTTTAAAAGAATGCGCTCCTCGAAGGTGGCCTCACCCCATTTGACGGTCGGTAGCCATGCCGGGTCTCGTAGTGGTCGGACATGAGAGACGTACTTCCGTGGACAGTCGCAACTGAGCTCCAAGACGTTACCTTTGTCAGCTGCGGCCCGGGGGTCTGGCCGCATAGCCTTGCCGAACTGGACAACAGGTTTCCCCTTGCTGGGAGGGGCGACGCTTCGAGCCTTGGCCTCTCGCGGAAGACTGTCAGGCGAGTCCTCGGGAGGATCATGCTGACTGCTTGGCTTTGGGAGTCGAGACAGGCTATCTTCGCCTGGACGAGGAGCTCGGTCGTCGACTATGCGGCCACGGGTCTCATCCTGTTTAGCAGGCCAAGGAGCATCTTGACCGCTCCCTCGAGAGCAGCTGTTGACGTAGTGGAGTGAAGAAGAGCCGTCTGGGGGATCTTGAGAGGAGCGGACGTCATAGTAGGAGCCGCCACCTCCGCCAGCCGGACGATCAGAACGGTCTTCTCGGCGTCTGAAGAAAGAGAAACAGCTATCAGCCTCCAGGGAGAAGAATGATACCAGGCCTCACCTCGACCTATGATCGGCAGTATCCCGCCTCCTATAATCGTCGTCGTCCCGCCTCCTATAATCGTCGTCGTCACGCCTCCTATAATCGTCGTCGTCCCGCCACCTATAATCGTCGTCGTCACGCCTCCTATAATCGTCGTCGTCCCGCCTCCTATAATCGTCCTTGTCCCGCCTCCTATAATCGTCCTTGTCCCGCCTCCTATAATCGTCCTTGTCCCGCCTCCCATAATCGTCCTGATTCCGCCTCCTATAATCGTCATTGTCACGCCTCCTGTAATCGTCGTTGTCACGTCTTCGATGGCCATCACTGTCCCGCCTCCCGCGTCTATCGTCAAAATAAGAGGAGTATCCCCTTGAAGGAGAGGACCCCCGAGGCTCCCTCGAGCCATACCGATTCCGACGAGAACTGCTACTGCCACCCTCACGGTAGTAATGCTGAGCAACAACAACAGTGATTAACACAATCGCCGAGCTCTATCAGCCCTACCTCTTCCGTAGAGCTCCGACGCCGACTTACCCCAGCATCACGACTACGAGACCTCCGACGAGTATGACGCGTCGAGGGGCGGAGGACCACGTCGTCGCTGGACGGACTCCGAGCCCGGCCCTCACCCCGAGGGACAGTGCTCTCAGTAGTGGTAGTGCCTGCGGGGGACCTCGACCGGGACCGAGTCGACGAACCCATAGAGGAGGGGCAAAGCTGTAAGAGACCCCAATGAGTCAGCTCGCCAGAACAAAACATGGGTGGAGCTGATTGCTACGGGAAAGGCCTATGAGAAGTATGATATAATAGAAATGCGGCCATCAATGCCAAAACAACAAGACTAGACTCGACGGTAGACGCCCACCATATCAGTTAGACGGGGAACCATGCCCTACCTTCGTCACGAAGACCATACAAGGTCTGATGAGCACAATAGGCGCGAGTTGCAGCTGGGGACCAAGACCTACTCCCCTAGTGTAGTAGTAGTGGGAGAAGGGAGAGCTGAAGCCGGATAGGTCGGAGCAACAAAACTGGATGAGCTGCGTAATAATAGTAAAAACAGGAGTGACTAGGGCCAGAGACCTCAAAGGCCCCCCCTCTCCCTGGATAACGACTCATCGAGATAATGTTCTCGCTTAGCAACAGGGCAATGCCAATACAGGCTTCTCAACGTAGAAGCCGATGACAGAAGGCGACGACTTTACCAAGGGGCTCAATAAGGGCACGAAGGACACATCTCACTGATAAACCTCATCGGAACAGAAATACGGCCATTCCGACTGCTACTATAATATTTGCTATTAATACACGACACGGTTTTGGCCGGTCGAAGGGGGCGCAAAGAATTCTCCTCCTTCACCAACCGTTTCCTCTTGGATGGGGGTAGGAGGCTGACTCGTGCTCTGTCGTTTCATCATACCAGAAGACGGCCACGATGCTCCCCAGGCGGCCAGCCCAGCCAAGTCACCGTCCAGACCCACTGCTGCGGCTGCCGATACCGGCGGCACGCCACCCGTGGGGGTAAACGGTGACACCATAGAATTAGAGTCGCCCTGGCCAGACCCATAGGGCAGAGGAGGAGCCGAGGGTACCTGGCTGGCAGCCCCAGCTGCAGCTTGCATTTGCAGGAACTGGACAAGAGGGTTGGGGGCCTGCCTGAAGTTCATGTCTCGATGGAGATACAGAGGGCTCGCTGGAGTGTCCGGTATCCAATCGGGCCTAGCAGGCAAGGCAGGGCTTGGGGCAGGGGCACGGACCGTAGTCCACTCTGGTATCTTGGGCTCAAGGGTCGGGGCTTGAGGAGTACGAGGAACCTCCTTGTTGGCAGCAACAGATAGAAGCCGAGCTAATTCACTCCAGGCGGCATTGGTGTCATCGAAGCCCGGTAGAGGGGCAACCATCGACCCGACCATTGGGGGAAACTTGTTCTCCACCTGGTCCGCGGGGGACTTGCCGTTAGTGCTGGCTGATGCCGCGGTAACTCTATCTGCCGGAGGTCTCATTTTGGTATCTGAACAGCGTCGGCATCGGATATCCAGCAGGTGAGGTTTCTATTACCTTTGCTCTTCCTCCTAAGGGGGTGACCTCCGGAGCTAACAACTGTGTTCCGTGCGGGGCCAGACTTAGAGTGAAGCTGGTCCGTCGTGGAGGCTACTTGGTTGAGCCCAGTAGCATTGCCATTAGAATTGCTCCCAAAAGGTCTTCGGTTGTCCCGGAGCCCACTAGACAGACATTGTGGGAATCCTCTCGGGCCAGACTCAGATTGACGTTGGTCCCGGTGCGACGGGGCCGCTGATCTGTTGAACGGATCGAAGCTTTTCTTATGCCTGAAGGACCGAAGTGAACGGCGAAAGGAAATGACCAAACCGATGACTTACGTCCCATTGCTGGTCAGCACTTGGGGTTGTGGCTGTTCACCTGGATACCTTCTGGCCGCCTCCCAGCCTTGCTCTACTCGGTGGTGGGGAGGATTGACACGATCGTCTAGAACCTAACCAAGAGTGTCGACACGGTGTCTACAGGACGCGTCGAGACCGGCCCTACCTTGATCACGTGGGGAAGTTTAATACGCTCGTCCACAGAGGGATTCGGGAAGGCGACGAACTGAACATGGTCACCAATTTTGAGAGCTCCTCTCCAATCGATGATATAAAAACGGCGACCGACCATATCGTGGTGACGTTGAAGACCGCCTGAGTCGCGCCCAGCTGAACCTCCCCAGTAGGATATATTGCTATTACCATAAAAATGCTGTGGATCCTCCAATACAGTGAGTTCCCAGAGTAGCCTACCGCACTGCCTTATGATGGTGCCAGTCAATTGTTTCTTCCGCTGGCCCATGGAGCTCCAGTTTCGGACGTCTTCGGGAACTGGGTGCTCCGGAAACACTTCGTGGTAGAAGTCCATCACGTTGACTATGGTGACATCCGTTGGGTCTTGCGGTAGGTTGAGGTCGGTGCTCTTGGGGTATCCCAAGATCGATGCGATGTCCGTGTAAATAGCATACCAGTACTTCAGTAGGTTATAATAAAAAGTGTCGTCAGTGACGACGCCCTCCCAGGTCTCCCAAAGGCCTAGCTCAGAAGCTTTCTTACAGCTCGGACAGAACATAGGGATGCTCTTGGGAGTCAACTGCTTCCACTTCCTCCTGCACAGTGGGTTCACGCATATCACGTGTTGCGGAGTAAAACTAGCTTCGCCCAGAGGGTCATCGGAGAGGTTATCACCCGATCTCGGTTCATGTGGTGGTGTTGAAGGCATATCTATCGTTCGAATGGCTGCAATAAAAAAGGCCTGAAGCAAGGACGTATTCTGCCAAAGAAGTGTAGTACTGACCCTAGAGAAGAATGTCACTCGCGCGCGCCATGATGATCGATTTGTATGTCGGGTTTTTATTGTTCGGACGTACCAGAAGCAGTTTGAAGTATCGTCAGTGATTGACTATGAGCGGTGCCTCTTCCATTCTTCTCTCTCCTAGTCGTCAACCTGTCGCCTCTCCAGGCAGCACTATAAAGCAAATAAGCGCCAACGCCCCCGTTTTCGATGGCGCCGAATCTCTCGAATTGCCAGAGGTAAGGAGGATTCCAAATATCATACTAGGACCATTACCTTAGGCTGTGATGCCAATGCTCGATGGTGTGGAGGAGAACTCTACCACGGCCTCGTCGAGTGATACTACTAGGGATGCCAGCGGTAAGAAGGGGGACTTCCTCTTCCTCACAGTAGTCCACCGTTATAGTCGTGAATACGCAGGTGGCTCCCCTGCATCAGTAGAGTCGTTGTCCTCAACACCGTCACAGTTGCCGAATGCCTCTTTTCCAGAGTCTTTCGTCATTGGTGTGGCTGGTGCCTCAGCCGCTGGCAAGACCAGTCTTTGTGCCGAGATAATGCGGAGACTAGGCGTTAAGAAAGTACTGTGAATGACAACCCTCGAGTACCATCTGCTCTCCTCAGACGCGTACGGTGACCTTCTCGACCGACCAGTACTACAGGACTTTGTCTAGAGCCGACCACGAAGTGGCATTGAAAGTAGGAGGCTTTTCTCATATGTGTTACCATGGATGGTTCTCAGGGTGACTTCAACTTCGATGATCCGAATCGGCTAGACTTTGCGCTTATGCGCGAGCATCTCCTGGCCTTGAAAAGGAAGGAGCCAGTGGTCTAGTAAGTACTCCAGAATTTACCATCGAGTGAAAGTCTCCGCCTTGGTAGTGTTCCCGAGTACGACTTTGTCTCTCATACGCGAACAGACAACGCCACAGTCATTCATGGAGCCAAAGTGGAGGTTATTATAGTCGAGGGCATTTTCGCTCTTTATGTACCCGAGCTCGCAGATGTAGTAGTTATGGGCGTCTCAGGGGTAGACGCTAGAGGCTCTTGAATAGGTGCTAGACATGAAAGTTTTCACACAAGAGGATGCAGATCTGTGCCTGGTGCGACGAATCAAGCGTGACTGTGGAGAGAGGGGCATTTCAGTGGATGCCACGTTGACCCAATATGAAGCGTAAGAGTATTCGTAGGTTGTGTTGCGATGATACTCAGAGTGTCTTGTCTGCAAAGTTGCTGAAATGGAGACCCCGTTGTTCTCTTTTCGATCGCTCTATTCAGAACCTGGGTATCTCTTCAGCTTGTCAGATTCGTGAAGCCAGCGTTCGAGACGTTCATTCAGCCGTCTGCCCGTAATGCGGACATTATAGTGCCTCACGCAGCGGTGAACGACGTAGGCATCTGTCGTTGCACAATTATTGATGATGTTATTCTTGTCCTCTTCTAGGTTGCGATAAGTCTCCTAGTGCAATGGATCGAGTCTAGACTCTCCAACATAAGGAGCGCCAGCGTGTCGGTGGCGTCGGAGCCGGTTGGGCCTGCTCCGCCAAAGCTCGCGGTCGTCGCTCCGTGCGATTAGGCATCCACCTTGTGTGCCACGAGGACAAGAAAAATGATGATTCTTCACCCACGCCTGAACTGCCCTGTATATCATCACATCGTATGGTTCATGTTGTATACACTTTTCCAAACTCGGAAGAACTGCGTCTATGTCTGTTTAGTGAGGATTAACGAGTCAGGCATAAGCCATCTCTGTTCGAAACTACTACCCCTATTGCTGTCTATGTTTCTTCTCTATCTGCTTGTACAACGTCTACTCTACTATGAATTCAAGAGTTGTGCTACTGCGCTGGGATCATTTGTTTAGTTGTTGTTCGCCAGGCCTGTCCTTGGTCGCCGATCATGCTTCATCACTCGGTATCATAAGGCCTGAGGTTGAACGCAGGGTGAGTGAATCGCTCCGCGGGATGAGGCTTCGTTTGAGAGTGAAATTAGGGTAGCAGTTGAGATAAGGCAGGGAGCACTTTTCCGGTTTAGAAAGACTATAACGATATTATCCACGGCTCGGTAGTAGTAGTAGTAGTAGTAGTAGTAGTAGTAGTAGTAGTAGTAGTAGTAGTAGTAGTAGTAGTGCTGTGTCGTTCATGTTCTGGACTCCCACATAGTGGATAGCCTCCTCTCTCGAGCCCTTCATGCTGAGCATTGATTATGGCAAGTTGTGGCAATCATGTTGGTATACCATATTGATCGTTGTTCACAAGTTTCTAGAGTAATGGCGTTATTTGAAGTCCTTTGAATTTGTTACCGCTATCTGTCGTCTTTGGAACTCATGGCATCCTTTGCATCGCGAAGGCTTCAGAAGGAGAGAGCTGAGTGGCGGAAAGATCATCCATTTGGGTTCTCGGCTAAGCCTATGGCTAATCCTGATGGGAAAGGTAGTGGAAATCGGCAAGGTGTGGTATGAACATCCCCGTGGTGCAGGTCAGAACCTCTTTCGATGGATTTGTGGTATTCCTGGTCGGGCTGGAACGCCGTGGGAGGGCGCGACGTAAGTCTACTCTATTGGCATGATAGATTCCGTATCAACTCTAATTCGTCTCGGGTTTTGACATCGTGTAGTAGTGGAGAAGGATATGAGTAAATCAGATACAAATTAACGATGGACTTCTCTGAAGATTACCCTGGCAAACCGCCCAAGTGCAAGTTCGTGTTTGTGAATGGGAAGGTACTCTTCCATCCAAATATATACCCATCTGGAACAGTGTGTCTGAGGTGAGTCGTCTTCGCCCTGCACTAGGTGTCTATCATCGTTGTTTAGTATTCTCAACGAGGATGAGGACTGGAAGCCATCTATTACGATTAAGCAGATCTTGTTGGGCGTCCAGGACCTTCTGGACAATCCCAACTCGGCTAGTCCTGCTCAGGCGGAGCCCTTCCAGCTTTTTACACAGAATAAAGAGGAGTATGTCCTGGCTGGGAATCGAACTCGGGACCTCTTGCGTGGTGTGTAGGTACCTCCGTCGTGTGAAGCAGCAAGCGAAGGACGTCGCCAATGGGGGACAGAGAGTAACTCACTAGAATACCATTCAAGCCACATCAATGAATACACTGCAGCTCCCCTCTTTACTGAGCCCTAGGCGTCGCGTCTTATGTCTATTGGATGGTGTTTTTAGCAGCTTTACTGTTGGTGGTGTTCATGACTCCCCATACAGTGCTTCTGGCTACTACGAAACCCTTTGCGAGGGACGCTGTAGGCGCTATCAAGACTATATGTGAAGAGCACGGTCTTGTATTCGAGAAGCTGGAAGGGTGAGGACGCCGCCCTCGGGAGCGGTGGTGTTATTTTCAAATTGGTCAAGGTATAAGGATCGAGCTGAGCTGTACGAGGCAGTGGCCACAGCCGAAGCCTGCATTGTTCGCAGTGATGTTTGCGACGAAGAATTTTTCTCCCATGCTAAGAACTTGAAAGTTCTGGTACGCGCTGGTGCGGGTGTGGACGCAATAGACCTGCCAGCAGCCACAAATCACGGTGAGTTGAACCTTTATAGGTAGAGCTTAGAATTTTCTTGTGTTGTTGGTTTAGGAGTTTGCGTCCAGAACACTCCGGGACAGAATTCTAATGCGGTCGCGGAGTTGGTCTTTGGCATGCTTCTAGCGCATAAAAGGAATTATTTCGACGGTACTTGATGTGGCATAGGCGGGTGTGATATTTATGAACTTAGGCAACTCTGGAACAGAGATTAGAGGAAGCAGTCTTGGATTGTACGGCTGTGGCAACGTGTCGCGATTCGTGATTCTGGCAGCCCAAGGCTTTGGCATGGACGTAGGGTAGCCTTGATGGGCTCTCGTGGTGGATTTGTATGCTGCAGATTTATGCTTATGACCCATTTCTTACTCCAGATCAAATCGCGGACCTGGGGGCAGAACCACTTTATGATGTGAGTTTTGGCTATGACGGGTCGGTGTGTCTGACGTCTTGATGTAGGTGCCCTCAATTTTTAAATGCGACGTTGTTTCCCTCCATGTGCCGGCCACCAGAGAGACTAAGCAATCGATTGATGGGAAGCTGCTGAGGTCGATGCCTAAAGGAGGAGTTCTCATTAATACTGCAAGGAAGAATGTAGAGTAGCTGTGGTAGTAGAAGTTGGTTTGATCTAGTACGCTTCAGATCATACGAGAGGCGGACCTGCTGAAGGCGTTGGTCGAACGTCCTGATCTCAGTTATCTGGCAGATGATAAGCCGGAGAATACTGAGGAGATCAAGGAGAGCCTTGGTGAGGCCCGTGTTAAGAAACAAGTACGATGCTGTACTGTGAAGGTCTATATGTTGCTGCTTGATTCAGTTCCTGGTTACTCCTAAGAAGATGGGAGCTCAGACGGCCCAGGCCAACAGTAATTCTGGTATCGCTGCCGCCAAGCAGATTGTAGAGTTTTTCAGAGGCGGTCTCGTTAAGCATCAAGTAGTTAACATTCGGAGTCTATTTCGGAAGTCATGGGAGTTCTTGTCAGGTTAATATTAATGGCAAGCACTTTTGAAGCTAGCTAGCCCTCCGACTGCGCTATCCTGAAATGGGCGTATGCACGTTTTTCCGGGCTCGCCAATTTTGACGTAGTTATAACCGGATCTGGTATAATGGAGTATCGCTCAACGCGGCGTAGTGTAGATTTTCATCAACAATCATGTAGAGTTCATAGTTAGCGGCCAGTTAAGATAGGTGGAAGTAACTACATTGGAGCTCTCCCAGGAGGATTCTGACTCTTTGTGAATCGTGGATTCATAGCGGACCATGTGGGGTCATCACTTCCATGATTGATGTGTGTTTGATGGTAGATTGTTTAGTAGTTTGATATAATGTTCAGTACATTCCGTGGTGAGAGCGGTGACGAGTTGCCCAATGATAACTATGACAGACCGTTATCGGCCACTCCGGGAGCCAGGCCTCCCTACGTCATCGTAGTCCACAGCTGCAAGGGCGGCGTTGGCAAGAGCACAGTCGCTTTCAACCTCAGTGTGGCCCTTGCGAATAGTGGACTTGATGTTGGTGAGTATTAGAGGGTGGGGGTATTGCCCTGATCTTGTTTTGAGCCAGGTCTGGTAGATGCTGATGTCATGGGACCATCTCTGCCGGCTTTTATCAAGCCGGAGGAAGGTCACCTGTACTTCTCGAAAAACGAGAAATGGGCACAACCAGTGAAGTAGGACGCCTAACTGGCGGGTTTAGTTTCCTTTTTCGTGATGGTTAGGTATCCGACCGCTCGTGGATCTCTCTGTTGCCAATCCTTTGGCTGGCTTGACGTGAACAAGGCATCGAAGCAGGGCGCTGGCCTCTCCGCACAGAGTGCTAAGGAAGTTGTGGCCATGATGCTCACACAGACTGACTATGGCAGTGAGCAGGGCATGAATGGTGAAATAGCTTTATTGTTTGATTATGTAATTCAGACGTTACTCATCTGGTAGTGGACTGTCCGCCTGGGACTGGGGACATACCGAACCTCCTATTAGGCGGTGGTGTTCATCCCTCTTGTGCCGTGGTTGTGACTACTCCACACAAGCTGTCCCTGATGGATACAAAGTCGGGTGTGGACAAGATGCGCAGAGATGGCGTAAGAGTCTCGCATTATGAGGTGTCTCTATATTCCCATCATCAGGTCACCATCGGTGCTATCGTTGAGAATATGGCATATCTAGAATGCCCTCACTGTAGCGGGATTATCCACCCTTTTGGTGAAGCAGATGTCCATTGTGCTCTGGGGCTTGGCAAGGAGGTATGTGCATCACGTTGTTTGCATTGTACCGTTCGTATCCACCAAGGGAATAGGAGGCGACGTCGAAATGCCATTCACTCGTCGTGAATGTTCTGCCTGTGGTCGGCGATTCGGTCACTGAATGGACTTGACATTGGAGTTGTTCTCAGGTACCAGTGGTCGAGCTACCTATCGAGGCCACCTTATCATCGCATCTTATAGCGTCTCCGGCCTCCTCTACTGAACGTTGCTTTTCGGAGCTCGCGAGAATTGTGGCAGCATCCTGTCAAGCGTCAGGCAGCCCTCGTGGGGTCAAAGGTATCTACGACCATTTGCCAATGGTGATTCAGGACTGGGGAACTTTTATAGCGTGCCTGTCGGTGTCCATGTAAGCGATGACAATTGTATTAAAGTTAAGCCAACTGGTAGTTTTCTGCGTAATATTCTCAATTTCTGTGCTCCGTTGTTTCCCGGATTCACCCGAGTTTCTCCATCTCAAGTGTAGCGTCTGTGGGTCGAATGTATTTCTCGAGAGAGGATCATTCGAGTCATCAGAGCTACTCGTAAATAAATGACCGATGGTATCCGATATCGATGCCATATGAATATCTGAGCCCGACCAAAAGCAACAGGAAGAAGTTCGTGAGTTTTCTCCAGTGATTGGGGTGCGCTATGCGCGCGTGGCTCCATCTTACTCCATCGCGCCTGTTAACGCGATTGACGCGCGACTTGTGCGTCAATTCCATTTCTACGATAGCGGTGTGAATCACACCGTGTGAACAATCGTGTTCGATCTGCCTTTGGAGCTATCGATCAATTGTTGCTTTTTCCTCATTGTACATTGTATATTGTTACTGCGTTCAACGTACCGTCTTCTGTGTTGGTTACGCCGGTGCAAGTGGGAAGATCCGCTAGCAGACCCATCTTGCACAGTGCGAGTCACGCAGGGTTATCAGCCTCAGGCTACTGCATAATATAAAGCTGTTATGAGTTGGCCAGTAAGAAGTGGCTTGTGCGTTCGTACGATACCGTAATCTGATGATCTGGTACGAATCCTCGGTAAAGTGATTTAGGCGTACTGAATACACAACTCTTCGTGTGCACTGCTAGAGTGGTAGAGGGAGATTGGAGGAGCAGCTTTCGCATCCTCTCTGACGATTAAAATGACCTCTACGTAGTCAATACGAGAATTGAAAAGGATGGATAGTAAGATTGATACAGCATCCAATGGGCACTTTTTCATTGGAAGGATGCATCTTTCCCTCGCAGGCCTCGTGGTGTCGAAGGGAGAAAGCTGATAGCGTGTTCCACAGTCCTCAGAGGATCAATGGCACCGCCCCGTATATACTGAGGGAAATATTCTGGCATCTCGAGCCCGGCTGGAACAGCATTAGCCAGGATCAGTCGCTTCACCAACGACGGTTCGACATTCATTGACAGGAGGATAGCAGCCAGACCAGCTACTTGCGGTTGAGCAGCGGATGTGCCGCTGAACTTTATCAATTCACCTGCCTTATCACGGCCGACCACGAGTTGAGTGCCATAGGCTGCGACGTCAACTCTATCACCATAATTCGACTCCAGATAGAGTACTGGTTCAGTCCTATTGTCCCACATGTAGTCATACAAGGAAGCGACACACATTCCGAGTGGGCCACCATACCAACAGGGGTAAACATCAGATGCTTCCTCGAAGTCATTGCCTGCGGAAGCAACGAGTATAATGTTATTCTGTTGTACAGCACGTAGGGCATCGAACAGCATATGTTGCAACTCCATTTCAAACGCGCTCAATGTGAACCCTAGAGACACCGATATGATGTCTACCTCAATGTCAATGGCCATTTCGAGAGCAAGCAAGAATTTAGATAGACTCAGAGGAGAGTCCTTTGCCATTACTTGTAGCGGTACTAGGGTGACATTAGGAGCCATCCCAGCGACACCAACCGAGTTGTTACTCTTGGCGGCGAGGATCTTGCTAACGCTGGTACCATGCGTGTTCGCGAACGTCAGTGTCGACGAGTTGGTGTTGAAATTCCAACCTCCGTCGATGTAACCGCCGCTTCTCTTCTTCAGCGTTCCCTTCAAAGGGGCCAGATCCGGGTCAGTCCAGTCGACTCCGGAATCTATTACAGCCACTTTGATTCTTCGAGTAACATGCGGAAGAGCAAGCTGCCACACCTGACCCATCTTCATCCACTCGAGATGCCCCTGATACATGGCATCGGCATCGTTCACGTGCAAATCGTTAGTGTATTCCCCGAAGGCTTCACCTGGTGAAGCCTGGTGAAGTTTACCAGTGGCATCCATTGCACATTGAGATTGCAGAGATAGCTTGCTACTTGCCTTAGCCACGAAGTCGCAAAGCTCGTTGCTGTCGATGGTGGCAGCTGAACTCTGGACAACTTGGGTTTTAACATTTTGCAAAGTGGTGATCTCAGTGGCCTCCAAAAAGGCTACAATGTTCTGATCAGGGGTTTCACCGGCATCCCTCAGCATTTGGGGCAGATGGCGGATGTCAACCTGATTGATACCAGACCTTAGGCTTACGATGGTGTTATTCTGAGCAATGACAGCATTGCACAGGATGGCAACAGAGAGCGCAGTATTGATATGCATCAGACAGAATGAAGAACTGTGGGAAGACTGGATAGGGAGAGAGAGCAATTCGATGTGAGGAATTAGAGAGGCGATAGTCGACGTAATCGGAAGACTAATCTGGAAGGGATGAGTGTAGGAAAACTTTGCATTATCAGAGTAGACGTGGGGCACCGCTACACGTCATTCGTCCTCAACTTGAGAACCTCAAGGGCGAGCCAAGAGACATGTGAGAAACAGCCGAGACATGCCCGTGCCGGAGACGGAATAGAGCGTCCAGTCACTGAACTTCAGTGCCAACATCGGATGGCCCGATTCGGATCGGCACAATGCGCATCAGAGTAAAACTGTGGAGAGCTGAGGGAAAATACAATGTAGGAAACAAAACACGCGATCTGTTACCAAGCTCGACGGAGTTTCATAGCAAAGTGGGGAGGGTTCGCCGTAGTCCACAACGGAGACGCACCGCGAGAAACGTATTCCGCCGGAGTGTGTTTAACGTGAATTCCCAAGCGAGCCTAACGCGTTTCCTATCAATCTGTGACGACATGGGATAACAGGATCCTCTCGGGTTCCTGTAGCCTTGAGAACCTCTGCAAGAGTTTCACCGACCAAGACGATACAAGCTCAGTTGGCGAGCACTCTCGCCTCTGGCCTGGTGACACAGGAGTCTCACCTGAGGCCGTATATGAACCCTGGAGCCAATTAAAATGCGCAGCTCCTCCGAGCTTCAAGTCTTAGTGCAAGAACCCGAGATCCAACTCGGAAACATTTTTTCTCCGAGTTCCCACGCATCAAGGTGCGGGTCGTCGGATGAACCGAATTCCAGGTGGTCTTTCGAGCTTGAAGCACGAGCGCGTTTTCTCGTGTTAAAGTGCCGAGTTTGAAAATCGCATTCGGATTCGGATTCCGCCTATCACTCGGAATGAACGCAATCCCACTATTGAACTCTTGCTGAGCGCGGAAGAATAGCCTCTATAATATAGTGACAAATCCGTTTATTGATCCCTGAAACCAGATCGTGGTCGAGCTACCTATCGGGGCCATCTTATCAGTCCAGCGAGAGTGTAGCCCACCAGGTCGCTCCCAGGGCAACCTGCGCTGTTCATGCAATTTTCGTGCAGTCTTATTGACGATTCAGAGATTTTGTATTAGATTTGGTATTCCTTACCCGTTTGATGAGTGCAAGTTGAATAGGCCCATCGGCAAGTTTTTCCTATTTAGGGCATTTGTTGTTGATCCCTAAAACCAGATCGTGGTCGACGGTACCATCCTCGATGACGCCTTCAAAACGATGAAGGCTGCCTTGGACAACGCCGCTATGAGTATTAGCCTCGAAATCGTAAGCATACACGGTGCCGCCTGTCGCATAACTCTCCGCCGGTGTTGAGGAACTCCTCGCCGACATGCGGTGACCAATAACACGACACTAAGATCTTGAGCCAAGATGGCTACGGAACCTCAATACTAGAGACTTACAACGAGAAACGTAGGTTCTAAGAACCATACGATTCGCTATATAAGGAAAAGCGCACGCCCAATAATGCTACGTGCGTCACGATCTCAATACTCTAGTAAATACGTCAAAATACGTCACAATCTCATCCCCTCAGGTGGCGACATCTCAAGGAGCCACCTCATCTAAGCTCTCTTCTAGTAGGGTGTTTGTGACCTCATCCACTTTGATCTTCTTGACATCCCTTGGGGACAATCTCACAAAGGCTGCGACATTACCGATAGTTGATAGCTTACCATCGGGACCAATCCATAGTGGTAGAAGTCGTTTATTTAGTAGACGATACTCGTGGACCATATACTGACCGCTACCTGTCCAACGCTCAATCTTACCGTAACGAGTTTTAGAATCTTGTGGATCTTTCCACAATATAAATTTAGTGTGCCTCAGTGAACGTGTAGACAGAGTAGGCTCTCCAGAAAGCTCATCGTCAGTGATCTTGTGGTTATCGTCGTCATCATAAGCTCCATTAGGAAGAAAGGCCTTCAGGTGATCAGCACTGTAGAGCTGGGAACGGTTACCATTAGACTTGACTTCATAACAACGGGAACCGACCCTGCGTATAATCTCACCTTCCCGCCACATACGGTCGAGTTTGTGGCTTGGTTGCGTCCATACCAAAACCTTATCTCCCACATCGAACTCGTTCGGCTCGTTAGCCCGCTGCGGCTTACGCTCTTGCCAAAGCTGCTTCCAGTCCTCCATAATCTTCTCCCTCCTCTGCCGTAGCTTGTCACAAGCAGATCTGATAGCACGTTTATGCTTCTTATTAGGGTGTGCGATGAATCTTTCAATAGCATCATCATTCACCTGAGCTGTACTAATATGCGAAGAAGCCCATTGTGCTAATGGAGATTGGAGTGGGAAACCATAAACAGCTTCATGAGGACTGACGCCCAGAACCGGATCGATAGTACTATTGACTCGAGCTTGAGCGAAGGCTAAGGCTTCGTGTAGGGTAACATGACGATTTTCATCCAGAACTGCTCGTAGGGCCATATTCACCACGGCATGGCCTCTCTCATAGAAGCCACCACTCGCTGCGTGATATACTGGAATACAGACATGTCTCACATGATATAGTGATAATAGGCTGCTGAAGTCGAGACTCTTCACAAACTGTATTCCATTGTCAGAAATAACCGTTCGAGGGCATGAATACTTCAGAAGGAATTCAGTCTCGAATACCCTACAAAGCTCACTAGCAGATATCTTCGTCATCACGAAGAAAAGACAGAATTTTGTCAGCAAACATGTAATCGACATGACATACCTCTCATTACGTTTAGCAGCAATGAGTGGACCTAATAAATCCACTCCGACAGTCTCGAAAGCTCTAGAGGGACAAAACCAATGAGAGGCAGCTGACTTATCGACTCTAGGAAATCTAGTAAACTGGCAGGCCTCACAAGACTTAACAATACGTTTAACATCAGAACGAGCCTTGGGCCACCAGAAATTCGACATTATTAATCGATAAGTATTATTGATACCAATGTGCCCATGTAATCTATGAAAATAGAGAATAATCTCTTTAATGAATAACGGAGCACAAGCATTTCGTGGTAGAACTATTTTAGGAGAATCATCATAGTACTTAGTACTAGTCTTAGTTGAAATCTTACAAAGTAGACCATTAACGATCATCATATGTTGCGCATACTTTTGGATACGAATAGGTTCATCGTGAAGAACAGATACATTACTACTCAATACACGGAAAGTAGCAGCAGCCATGTCATCACGTTGCTGCTGAGATTGGATGAACCTCAATAAGTAGTCATCAGAATTGTTAATATGTTCATGACGCCATCCCTGAAAACACTTATTCAGCAGGATAAAGCGTCTATAAGTAGGCAGATTATCAATAGTAGATAATGAGATTGTACAGCATTCTGAATGAGACTCAACGACAGATGGAAGTTTTCGAATGTCTCTCGCAGGAATATCTTGATCTATCCTCGAGAGCAAATCTGGTTGAGCATTTCGATCAGCTGATACATGAGTGAAGCGAACAGAGACCTTATACGAACGAACAAGTCTTAACATATCAAGACAGCACTCACGTAATCGAGAAGTAGATAACCACTCTACTCCTTTCATCTTATGAGGGCGATCATCTAGTCGTCGGATCGCCGTAGTAGAATCACTCGAGAGAACGACTGACTCCAACTGTGGGAAGAAACCATCGAGCAATGAAGAACAAAACTGCCCCAGAGAGCTGCTCAGACAGAAAAGTTCCCTCCTATTTGCATGCCAGAAACGAGCACTGGTAGCGAACAGGTGAGAACGCGCACAAAGGATCATCATATGCGGAATCGCAGCTTCTGTGGTGTCAGAAAGTACGGTAGAATACCATACAGATGCAAACCCACAGTTCGAGGCATCATTCCCTATCACGAGAGACTTAACAGTAGAAAATAAGGGCACCTCGAGAGGAATGCGTGCCCATGATTCTACAGCAGCATTTAAATGCTTATTCACCTCCTTCTGAATGTCAGGAGGCAACACATCATCGAAAGCTATACTCTGAGACCCACTCACTCGACGGGCCCAATCACAATGCGCTCGAGCTTGTACTTCTTCTAACGATTGACAGAGATCTAGGAAGCGACCTGCTTGACGAAAGACCTCACGTTTAGTAGTGGAAACCGTAAAGTTAATCACCGGTGGCTTCATGCGTAAGACACAGCCGTCCCACGCCCAGTAAGCACCCAGCCACTTGGAATACTCATCACTCCATACAGCTTTCTTCTCCTGCGGAATGTCGAACCCCACCAAATCCAACAATTTATAGAGTGTAGCCTCGAACTCATCCAAGTGTACTTTTGACGACACCACAACGATATCGTCCATCATTCTGAGAGTACGCACCAGAGGGTGGAATCGGTCGAGTATACTCCATAGTAGGTCCAATGAGTGCTCTAAGGCCCCTGGGCCTATCGCCAGCCCGAAGGTCAGGCGAGAGCTCCTCATTGTTATACCACGACCATAATTGATATAGACTGGCCTCATAATGGCGAGCCTATAAAAGGCCTTCGCCAAATCGTATTGGCGAATCTCCACAGACGGCGTAATGATGGAGCGTAACTGCTGAGTAATACGACCGATGCTGTGCTTACGGCTCGATGCGACTGGTGCTCGTAAATTGAGTACCCTGGCATCTACAACTGGCCTAATCCTCGTGGATTTAGCCATCGATATTATTGGAAATGCCGTGGCCCTATCCCTCGGCACTTCCTGGTCAGATACTCTCTCCCACCAATGGCGATCTTCATACATTTTTAGCTCATCTAGCCAGAGCTGATACTGCTCAGGACTGAGCTTCTGCAACAATCTATTCGGAGACCACGACCGTCGCTCATTCGCACTCTCGACTTCCTCCCAATCTACTAGAAATCGATACTCCTGCGACGGCGTATCGCGAACATCATCGGTTTCTAATTTAACCAATCGCATCTTGTAAGCTTCCGCATTCTTTATTGGTCTCCATCCAAAACCACAAAGCTTCTCAAGACACTGCTCAATCGAGTCGCAATCCTCCCACTCGCACTTACTATCTCTACTGGGGATGCTTGTCGGTGTCCAACTAGGAGATTCCAACTCAGACTCCGCCGAGCTGTACTCCTCTATTTCAGAATCTGGTGCTTCAGTAACCGCCAGATCATCGCCTGAGACTGAGCATGCTATCTTACCATTAAGATGCACACCACTGCAATCAATCCTCTCTGGATTGATAATATCCACTGAGGATATCTCCGAGAACTCGTAGGACCCGTCCTCCTCATTGAGAGACGGTACCGTCCTATTACGCGAGCTCTCTGACTCCTTGGATGCTTCCAATAACTCCGATTGGATCTTTTCCAAGGCTGTCTCATCATCAAATCTGTAAACGAGCTTCGCACCGCACAAGCGCAACGCCGACCTTCCTAAGATGAGGTCGTATGATAGCCCATTTGCTATCAAGAATGGGAGAATCAGTTCTTTATCTCCTACTCGACACGGAACGATCGTCTCTTCCGTGATCAATTGTGTTTGCTTGTTGGCAAACACCGCTCGCAGAGGAGCAATAATTCTTCTACTCAACTTCAAACGCTTGGCGAGATCCCTATTGATCAACGCCAAAGCCGATCCGCTATCCACAAGCGCGTCGAAGACTTCTCCTGCCAGAGTCACTTTACATGTACTAGGGGGACATGCCGTTGCTAACGTAAGAGACTTCAACTCCTTCGGCTCCTGTTCGGCAACAGATGCAATATCAATCAATCCCTGATCGATGTCGACTGCCATCGCTCCTCGACTGGTGGAGTTGTTCGGTTTCGCCTCACCGCTCGTAGTGCCCGCACCCTGGACTCTGTTAGATTTCTCAATTTGTGAGCTGGGATTTTTCTTCGGACAATCACGAGCTATATGCCCGAATCCTCTACAATTATAACATTGTAATGATCCTTTCGCACCGTTGAGGCCCTGACTCGCTTTCAGTTGAGGTGGTTTAGAATCACCCTCACGGCGGATCGATCCTGGCCTTTGCCCTTTGCCAGCACCTTTCCCCGTGACTAAGGACTTCGAATCTTTATAATCTTTCTCATAAAACTCTGCTGCATCTGCACCAATTTGTCGCATAACTCTCCGCCGGTGTTGAGGAACTCCTCGCCGACATGCGGTGACCAATAACACGACCACAGAAGGAAAGGACGCTTTCATCACTCTTCTTGAAAACTTTCCCGAAATTACTCACAGCTCGCCCTTCACTCCATAAATTCGCAAATTTCTCATCTAATCGCTCCCACAACATTTCGGAAATATCCCCTTGCAAACCATCATCTTCCAATTCCGTCAACATCCCCAACTGCTCTTGGCAGTACGTTTTGGCTCTACCGACCAAATTTCTGCTCAAATAGTAACACGCCAACCGACCCTTCAACTGATAACTCTTACAAGCCGATCGAACTCTCTTCTTAAATATATCGTACGTCATAAACACATTATCAGCATTCTTCCCGTCTACGTCCCAAGGAGCAGCTTCTACCAGAGGGAGACTATTCAACTCTATCTTATTCTCGATCCGATGAGCAGGAGTCATTTTATTCTTTGAATCACTCCCCTCGATGCCCAAGACCACCAACAATCGTGTGAGCATCACCGGATTTCTTTCCGTGAGGCACGCATCAAGAGCTGATATTTTCACTAGTGATCTCATCACTCCCAAGCTCAAACAGTACGCTAACTCCTGAGCTCCCTCTGTCAGGCCACTATCCAAAGTGCACCAATATAAAGCCGCATATATCGAACGCCAAACATCACTATAGTTCGTCACATTCGCATCCCTCGCGACCTCTCGGAAAAACTCTTTTAATGCAACGGCCCCCTTACGTATCAAAACCCCGATCTTAGCCCGTGCTCTCACCTTATCATCAACAGCTAGGAGTCCGTCTACTATGTCGCAGACTTTCTCGGACACTCGCTCATCATCGGGCTGCTCTGCTTGCACGTCCCGTAGGCCCTGCATCGACCACCAATTTGTCGCATAACTCTCCGCCGGTGTTGAGGAACTCCTCGCCGACATGCGGTGACCAATAACACGACACTAAGATCTTGAGCCAAGATGGCTACGGAACCTCAATACTAGAGACTTACAACGAGAAACGTAGGTTCTAAGAACCATACGATTCGCTATATAAGGAAAAGCGCACGCCCAATAATGCTACGTGCGTCACGATCTCAATACTCTAGTAAATACGTCAAAATACGTCACACCGCCCTTCATCCCTTGAGCTCTGCCTCTACTGGAGTCCGGTATAGGAAGATCAGGAGGGGGGAGAACAGGTATAGGAAGCGCAGCAGAGGGGAGCGGAAGGATACGCGAGGGCGGGGGGGGTTAACATTGAGACTGTCGAGAAGTAGATACCACCTCGCCCGATTACCTAAAATTCCCGTTACTGAACCCATACGTGGCGAGTGTTGCAGCGGCGGCAACGCCCATGGTCAGGTCCTTGTATGGCGGGGCGAGTTGAGAGTCGTCCTCCCCAAGTCCGACCAGAGGGTGTCTGTAGAGCGCAGACTAACCACGTTTGGGTTGTAGTCGGTGACGATGATTTTGTTTGTGATAGCGAGGAGTCTGTTTTTAACTATGGAAATGGTGAGGAACTGGCCATAAGGATGATGCTATTGCTGCACTACGCACAATTACTACACTAGCTATTTGATTCTGTAGGGTTTACCACTCTATAAGTACTTGAGACTGCTCCCTCATGGTGCGAAATCGATAGCCGGTTCTAGCTATATTTCTTTTCTCGGGTCCATGAATGGTTGCAGCTCGAGGTAGACATTTTCGATGGCATGAAGGACAGCAGTAGCTTTGGAAGGAGAGCTCGAGGCTCATTGGTCACATGAAGGTTCTAGGGAGGGGGTGATGCGGTACCGCGATCTTCGACGACGAGATATTGGATGATGACTGGAGCGCTGCTCTTTGCTGTGGTTTGTATTCATTGGGAACCCATGAGACTGTTTCGGGTCTGTTCTCACCTCAAATTTAGAAGGACAGAGTGGGAAGGGCGGGTCGGCGTCGCGCTCGAAGGCTACCTCCAGCGCCAGAGCATGTAGAGTCAGTGTGCCTAGGAGGCCGACAGTAGTCGCGAAGAATTCCATAGTGCGTTAACCGGACTTGCTTGTTATTGGGATAGCTGTTCCAATGAGCTGTTCACCATTCCAGGTTCACGCACGTCAGTGTTGAGGAGGACGAGAGTGGAAGTTACGACGATCAACCTGTGACGATGCTATGCCTGATTCGAGGGATCACAGTGCCTGAATGTACGTGGTCGCTTGGATAGACTAGCAGAACAACGGGGGTCAAGGCTAGATAGAGTCAATGCTCAGCTTAGGCATATCCTAGACAAAGTCAACGCTCAGTATAGGCATATCCTAGACAGAGTCAACGCTCAGTATAGGCATATCCTAGACAGAGTCAACGCTCAGTATAGGCATATCCTAGACAGAGTCAACGCTCAGTATAGGCATATCCTAGACAGAGTCGACGCTCAGTATAGGCATATCCTAGACAGAGTCAACGCTCAGTATAGGCATATCCTAGACAGAGTCAACGCTCAGTATAGGCATATCCTAGACAGAGTCGACGCTCAGTATAGGCATATCCTAGACAGAGGCAACGCTCAGTATAGGCATATCCTAGACAGAGTCAACGCTCAGTATAGGCATATCCTAGACAGAGTCAACGCTCAGTATAGGCATATCCTAGACAGAGTCAACGCTCAGTATAGGCATATCCTAGACAGAGTCAACGCTCAGTATAGGCATATCCTAGACAGAGTCGACGCTCAGTATAGGCATATCCTAGACAGAGTCAACGCTCAGTATAGGCATATCCTAGACAGAGTCAACGCTCAGTATAGGCATATCCTAGACAGAGTCAACGCTCAGTATAGGCATATCCTAGACAGAGGCAACGCTCAGTTTAGGCATATCCTAGACAGAGTCAACGCTCAATATAGGCATATCCTAGACAGAGTCGACGCTGAGTATAGGCATATCCTAGACAGGGCCTTCTCTTTGAGGTAGGCGTCTTAGCATGCCCCCGTTGTGGAGTATCAGGAGACCCCCCCGATGAAAGGGTAGGAAGTATCCTACATCGCAACAATGTATGAGACGATATAGACAATATAGTTGTGATGACAATATATGAGCCTCAGCAAGTTGTGATGGCGGTGTTGAAAACGACAGCTGAAAGTTGGGAAGCCGATGTGTCTTTGGATTCGGGAGGGCAGCCCAGAAGACTCAGACAGCAATCAACCAGGGCCAGCAACTCTCGGAGTCATCAGGGAGCTTGCGGCTGAGGACTCACGGAATACAGAGGTGCTAGACTATTCGTCCAATCTATGCGGTCATCAATGCTTTGCATGGTGGGGCGGGCGTCTCTCTAGATGTTTGAGAGCACCTTCGTGTCGTCTCCGACAGGGAAGAGTTCAGGACTTCGCCACAATATCCGAGCAGGGCACGCAACGGGTAGAGCGAGAGTTTAGAGGCAGATATTCTCTGCTCGCTACAGGGGCGTAATGCTCTCGGAAGCTCTTGTATTCCGAGCTAAGCTCGGCACTGACCCTGATGGGTCAGAGTGGAGCAGGCAGGTCTTAGCATCTCCTCAGGTTTTGTACTATACACCGCCCATTCGTGGCAAGAGAAGCAACACGATAGGTCAATCGACGCTGGCAGTATACTCTTTGGTGGAAAGGTTTCGGGTTTCGGTCCTGTTAGTGCAGGAGCGGTGTGGTTGGTACTGAGCAGGCCCTCGGAGGGGGCTCGTGCTCTGGGAGTGCCAAGTGTACTATGACGTGGTGATGTCTCAATGACTGCTACGCTTGTTGTTCGCTGACGGCTATGATGTTGTGTTGAAGTCCCCCGCATCGTATGTGAAGGTTTTTCCTATGTAGTTCCTTGGTTACTATTCCTGCTAATTAGCGACTATGGACTGGGTCTGTAGTCGTTTCACATTCCGTGGTCATCCTTTTCATGTCGTCAACTTTGACGTAGTGGATGACTCGGCGTTTGATGGTGCAACCTACACTGAGGGAATATGTTCTCACTCAAGATGCTCTAGGGTGAGCTCTCGAACGAGGTTTCCGAGCTCACTTACTGATTTTCATCTCATTGTTTTGACAGAAATCTCATCCTCCAGTGGAGCTCGTGGATGGTTTACCAGAATCTGTCTCCGAGTCCCTCGGGAGTGTCTTGTGGTTCGACGCAGCGGTAAGTTGGGGAGCTCGTTCGGGCAACATCTTGTGGATTGTTATCAGATCCGCTTCTTAAACTGGGCGGCGAAGTACCGATGTAGTTACAAGGGTCTTCGAATCCTAGGGCTCGGCGAGGGTACGGGTGTCACATCCCTTGCTCTGGCGGCTGATGGCGCTGCTGAGGTAGAGCGTCGATGGATATCGTCGGTCCACGCTCCGGAATTATGCGACCGAAGTTAGTCGGAACCTCAGTTTTGCTGACTTCCTCGTGGGCAGACAGCCTAAAGGTGTGTGTGCTCAGGTGTTCGTGTCGGACCTTCCTGAACTGCTGCCTCTCCTCGAAGTCAATTGCAGCTCTGAAGTGAATCCTCGTCTCAAAGGTCGGGCGAAAGCCTTGGCTCTGGATTGGGTTGATGAGGATAGTTTTCCGGCGGAGCTCGAAGGAAGCATTGACGTTATCGTCTGTTGCGAGGTACGATCAATATATGGCTCTCCCACTCGCGTCCCTTGCTCCAGTGGAGATGATTTACTCTTCGGTACTCTGTGTAAAACTCGAAATTTTATAGACAGTATGGAGGCTATTCGAAAGGTGACTTGTGTAAATTCTAGCGCCATCACATATTGCAATTCTATCGTGAGCATAGCGCCTCTATCCGTCAAGTATTTTCGTTATTAGTGTGATCCATAGCGGCCCTATTGGTCCTCCTGAATGACATGGTCTATAGTGGCATCTGTTGTAGATTCTCTACGGCAACCGTTTCGTGTGGCCGGGCCTGGTGCGCGTGCTCGAAAGAGCTTTGGCACCAGAAGGAGAAGCAATCTTCGCAATCACCCTTCGGAACGCTCGACACGACGTTGACGATTTCTGTGCTCTGGCGAGAGCCGGGGGAAGACTTTGCATCGCGAAGGAAGAGTACTTGTCGCCGGAGGTTGTGGTGGTTCGGATCAAGCTCGGATCAGGCCACTAACGTCAGTGTTGGTGTTGTCTTGAGTTAGTTCTGGTCAATCGGGAATACTTGTACTTGGGATAGTTCCCCGTCGAAGATCTAACTATGCGATGGCTACTCTCGGTAGTTCTGTTTTTGTCGATGGCACTACCATCATGGGTCTCCTACTGTCAGCAACGGCCGCACGAACTTTCCCGCAGGGGAGAACCCCTGTCCCGTATCGGCGCCTTGGGGACTACCTGGTGGGTTTCCCAATGCCCTTGAATATCTCTGTAGTCTGATATCTCAAATCTCTGTTACTTGACAGGCCGACTTTGTCTATGGCACTCCCACACAGGGAAGCAGTTGGTGAAAGCAGCGATGTTGCTCTAACTTTGCAAGGCAGAAGTTGGACGTCTATGGGCAGCCGTCAAGGTACACTAGTTGTTGTTGTTGGTCAGGGAGACAGATAGTCTTCTAGTCTTGCTTTTACTGACACTGGATGGGGTTACGAGCGTCTTGTGGTGCGCTTCGATATGCTTGTATACGTTGTATTGGCCGTTCAAGCCGTTAAAAGCCGGAGTACATGCAAGTGCGTCGGCCAATAGCCTACGCCCACTGCGGAGCGAAGCGATTCTATGGCATGGACGACAAGCTTCTAACCAATGATGAGCTCGTCTCCGAGAGACCATTGTCAAAGCAGAGGTGGGACATTGACAGCGTCATTAGCAAAGCAGAGTCCTTCGGTGATTGACTGCTATTGCAGACCTGTGGCTTGGTTATGACCCCCGCTATACGTCTTTAGTTCACTACTCTACTTGTGACCGTCGATTCTAGTGTGATGAAAGCGTTACGGCTGTGTGATGTCAATTCCTTTCTCGTTGGCATCTGCTCCGCCCTCCATGCACATTGGTGAGGTCAGCGAGGCCATAGGCTTCACACAGTTCTGGGGCAACAGCTTTGCCTGTGACCTCATCGAGGAACCTCTTGGAGAACACAGGACGGAACTCTCTGGTGCGAGCTCGAGCATGACTCGTGTTGTGAGCATGTGGCTATCTTAGAACGGCCATCGTCGCAGGCAGTGAACATTCTGATGGCGGGCGCTGGGGATATTAGGCACATATTGAAGACTGTGGCTAGGCGTCACGTGGACGAGCCACCTTTGCATTTTTATGTGGGCTTCATAGAGGCGTGTGGCGTGTACAGATAGCAGGTGCACGAGTCGTCTCCGGAGACCATCGCACGGCATATCTTTTTCCTGGACCTCGTCACTAATCCTGCACTGACTATTCGGGAACGCTGCGAGCTCTTCCTCTCCTTGTATGCAAATTTACTGGTGGGTGACGCGTGTTCGGTCCGGTTTAGTAATTCTGTGTTTGCCGTGGATTCCGGATCCCCCTATCCCGATCATTTGCGAAGGTTCGTAAGAAAGATGCCCGTTATCTTGGCGAGCAAGTTAGTCGACTGCAGGCCTTGGTCAGCGGTGATGCTGAAGACGATCCTTCTCTCAGTGGTGTGTGTTAGACTTTCTGATGGTATTCCTCCGAACCGCGTGCTTTCTAGGTCTGAGCAAACTCATTGACTTCTCAACCCTCAAGTTTAGGGACAGAGATGATGTCCATGAGGCCATCGGTAGGATGCTGGCTCTAGCCAGCTCAGGCTTGGTCGCTCTTACTCAAGGCTTCAAGCTGAGCTTCGTGCACCCCTTTATTAGGGTTCTGGGGGGAGTCGGTGGAGTTCGATGCGAGGAGCCTAAGAGACCAGCGTCTGAGGGGTTATTATAAGACACGTTACGACCACCGGAAGAATCTCCTAGATTGGGACTACCATAATGGAATCAAGCCCATGGCTCCTGCAGTGCACTGGCAGGTAACATCTTGGCCCTGTAGAGTGTTGCCACTCTATGACAGGAGTACAAGTCATTTGGGCTAACGGGCGTCTGTTATGAGACACGGCTTGGAACTTATGATGAACCGAATCGGACTATGGCTAGCTATGTGGATGGCCGTTGCCGGTCTCGAGGGACCAGCGTGCAGGTATTGTGTGTGAAGCGGTGCCGGAGAATATGCACATGGTCAGCTACATGTGTAGGTGACTTTTGTGGAAAATTGAGGAAATTCTCATTGTTTATGGACACTTCTACTCAAATTTGTATGTTAACTTCTGTATAATTAGTGAAGAAACTTCTAGACGCAGATGAGGAGAGCGAACATATATTCCGACACTAGTGTGAGATCTTCAATCTGGCTGAGAGCGTCAGCTTTGCATTGCGGTCGCGCGACCAGTGTGGAAAAATATGCACATGGTCAACTACATGTGTTGGTGACAGTATGAAAATTCTGAGGAAGTTGTGGGAAATTTTTGTTGGTTTGTGAAAACTTTCAGACGAATTCGTATATAAACTTCTATAATTAGTGAGGGAAGGAAACATATATTTTAGCACAGCATGCGACGCAACTGCAAATGCCCTGAACAGCCTATAGAAATGATCTCAGGTTCGCGGTTTTTGGGGTGATATTGTGAATTCGCCATTTCCCTGTTTCGGTGCCGAGGCCTATAATAAATGTGATCAAGAGCGCCTATTCAAGGCGAGTGGTTGAAGTTGGAGAGCCTTTGGGCTAGTCTTCTCACGCGCAGATATCGAATGAGCAACATGTTCATAGCAGCCACGAGATTGCTGATTTTAATCTCGCATGCATATTGGCAGAGATCGCCACTCGACAGGTCAAGAAATTGCCTCCGAAAAGCAAAGACGAAGACTCCTATCCGTAAGAGCTCCTTCGAAAGCATTCCGTCCGTTTGAATTCGACAGAGCTATGTTGTTATTTTCTGTATACTAGGTATAAGAGCCCGCTGGAGCGAGTGAGGTGTACCGTAGAGGAAGTCGATGATGATGACAGTGATGATGCTGGAGTCACTGAGGGCGTCAAGGAGCGACTTTTACCGGCCGGATTCCAGAATGTGACCATCGGCTAGTCTAGAGGTTCGATTCGGCACATATCAGGTGCGTATACACTTCTTGTCGGGTGACCTGAGCAGCAACATACTGCAAAGGCAGAAATATAAGCGGTATTTTGACAGGATATATGTCGGTGAGTGCTCAGCAGGAGACTTACTTCTTCTTTTTCTTCGGGTTGATCTCATAGGTTGCCTCGAAGTCAATGGTCTCATGGGAGAGGAGTCGGGACAGGATTTTGCGGAGGCCATGGTGACGGGATGTGGCAGCAGACTTTCCGTAGAGACCTTCAAGCATCAAGTGAGAGGCGAAGAACTCCAACTGCAGTGGGGCTCATTGGTCGAGTCGCAGGTGTGTTTGTCGGGCAAGCAGAAGTTGGCCGTCAGGAAGAAGGTACAAGAGGCATGTGAGCGTATCGGCTTGGAGCCTGTGGCTGATCACATGAAGGCTCCTAGCGTCACTGAGGTGTTGAGAAAACTGAGACTAGGTCTGCCTGGTGATTTAAGTAGCGTATTCAGGACGCGAAACCAGGGGAGCTGAGGAAGCTGGAGGAATCCCTACCATCTATAGTTCATTATAGGCATGTCGATAGTGTGTCCCAAGGAGCATGAGCCTCAATGGTTTGTGACATGGCACGTCGTTGTGTTCATAGAGGTTCAACACAGTGACTATCTTGTAGGGCAGTGTTGTGGTAATATTGTCGTCGGCAGATGAGGCTTCTATTGGAGGCCTTAAAGTGTGATGAGATCTATTCCCATCAGTTGGATGAAGGAGCTTATCCTTCCTTGTCTGTCGCGGTTGTATGGGGTTAAGAATCTTATCAGGTCAACTGTTGTCTTTTACTGGCCACGCATGTGGCCTATGATGGAAAATGCATTCACTTTTGGGGACATTCGACTCGTATTATTTCACTGGAGTTTCACCCGTGAAGTGGCGTAATACTCCATGTGAAAAATGCGGAATATGCGAAGTGAATTGGAAGCACTTGGTGAATTGCACCGGACAAATCAACCTATATCACGTGGATCACATCACGTGTTTTACGCGTTATTCACTGCTCGCATGTGTTTTTCACGAAGTGTAGTGTGAATGTTGCATGTTGCCGACCTTTCATGTCTACATCCAATACATGCACTTTTCGTATTGACAACTGGATGAGACTTGAGTAGGATACTCGAATTTGGGTTCAGAGTTTGAGTCACGATGAATTCTGCCGTCGAGTCGCCGCCCGCCTCATCAAGGGATGTGGCGCCACAAGGCTCCGATCAACAATACTCGTTCAATGTTACCGGACCGCCGCCGCCGCCGCCAGGACGAGGGCTTGATTGGAACGATTTGAACTATCCGAAGGGAGCTAAGCTCTTCCACTACAGGCCACAGGATGACCTACCGATCAACGTCGCCCACAGATGCAACTTACTGCATGCGAACTACCTCGTGGCTGTGGCGGTTCTCCTTGTGAACATTTTCAACACCATCATCACCATACTAGCTTACGAGGCTCCCTGGATCAACCTCTTGTACACTTTTCTAAATTTCATCATCTTTGGTTCCGCAGCATTCACCGTCTTTTACCTCGGATACTTGGGCATGGCGATGCGCTCTAAGAAGCACCTACTGTACTACAAGATTGCCGCGGGCGTTATGATCATCATTGGCCTCTACTTTATGCTAGCCGGAGGAGGTGCCATCAACGGCTTCTTGAAGGATCTCACTTACCACGTTAGAGGCTATTGGTGGTTCGCTGTCATTCTGGAGAGTTTGATGTGGTTCGCCTACGTGGCGCTGTCGTGCTACAATCTCTACCTTATGATTAGATTCTGCCCAGTTAGGTTCGACGATCTGGGAGTAAATCCATGATGGAGTTCATCTCTGTTTTCTCACCAAGTATTACGAGCTTCGTCTCAACTTATGTCAGTCGAGTTTTTGCGTTTAGTGATTCCTGTTAAACGCAGTTCTTGTAAGCTCGATAGTAATAGGGTCACTGGCTCATGCCCTCGAAGGAATTACTGTTGTGGGCGAAGCTCCTGCAGCGCTCAACGCCATTTTGGTCACCACAAGGAACGCACTTATGGAGGTATCAGCTGCCGTGCAAATGTTCATCGCAAGATGCACCGCTTCAGAGTTATTATCAGTACGAACATCTGGGTGTGGTATTACGTCTGTCTAAAATGGATACGAATAGGCTTCAAGGTGAGTCTATTGAGGTTATTCTGCCTGTGGTATGCAGGAGTCGTTGATAACTATCAAAAGCATTGGATTTCGTGAATTCTTCAGTTGGTGTGGTACAAGGTGAGAGGCCGGCATCTTCGGCCTGAGGAGCGTATAGTACTGTTTGATCATCCTCCGGAAAAGGTAGCTGAGTTTGGCTGTGTGTCTCGTATTCGGTCAGTCTTCCCACAGTTTGATATCGAGTGGAGCAGAAGTTCGAAACTCATAGCGAGCTACTTACGGGTTCGAGAAGCAATCCAAGAGGCATGATCTCTAACATCTCCTTGAGAGCATCGCGGTCATCAGGCACACGACCCTATACTGGCTCGCGCTGCCTTCCCTGGGCTGAGGACAAAGAAGGTGCCACCTACGGAGGATACACCTGAGATGCTCTGGGTACTCGACTCGGAAGCACTGACTGATCTTGAACCTGACTGTGATATCTTCGAGTGATGATAGTGTAGGTTCTGTTGAGGGAGCGGTATGAGATGCCGGTAAGGCAGTATGTTGTACTCTATTATATGCATGGTGGATTCTTGTGCTTCTACGACGGGGTATCAACGCATCGTCTATTCGTCGCTAGGATGGTTGACGTCTTGCAAAAGAGGCTTAGGGAAGATGGCATGGACGGGGTTAAAGTGGTCGCGTTAATTGTCAATTATACATTGGCACCGAAGGCTGTGCTACCAACACAGCTGCAGGAGGTTGTTCAGGGCTACAAGTACATACTCACGCAAGACAGATACCCGGTTGAAGCTAGTCATGTGGTTGTATCGGGTGACTCTTCGGGAGGCACACTCTCATTGAGCTTACTCAAATGTCTGGTATGCAACTATTTCGCCGTCGATTTGCCGCGCCCGGGTTGCTGTGTTGCGATGTCGCCCGTGGTGGACATGCGAGGAAGGCTTGGTCGACGGTCGCTGGATGTGGGCAGGGATGTGGTGCTGAACTCCGCTGGATGGTATGCGGGCAGCTGTGCTCTTTATGGGAGGCCATCAAGACCTCGAGAGAGGATGAACCTTCAAGACAGGCCTGCCGAAGATGATGAACATCTTCGTAGGAGTGGCAAGTTCAAGGATGCGGAGTGGAAACGTGTGCGGCAGTTGTCTCCCTCGGGGAAACCTGAAGATGTGAGTAACCATGCTCTCGCAAGGTATCAAGGCGTATTATTTTCTCTCTCATAGAATCCTCTTTTCTCCCTCATATGCGGTGAACTATCTCCGCGAGCATTTGGTGAAGTGCCGATACTCCTACAGGTAAGATGCTTGGGAATTGGCAAGGCTCGGCACTGGGATGTCAGGCGGGTGGCTCTGAAGGCTTAGCCGAACAGATAGCTGCCTTCGCCGAGGCTGCTCATGGCGCGGTGACCTTGGAGTTGTATGAGAACATGTTCCACTGTTTCCAGCAGTACTCGGTGAGGCGAGTGACTCCGGGTTGACTGAAAACCGCGTTTCTTTCAGAGCCTCCCACAATCTCCTCTGGCTTTGCGTCGCATGGCCCAGTTCGTGTCGGAAGCTCTTCGAGCTCCTCCGAAACTTCCAATAGGCCGATCGTATTCTGAAGGATGCCCGCTTGGTCGCTCGCTGAGTGTGGATTTGACCTGTCGTTCAGCAGAATGGGTTGGCACATACGAACAGAACTAGAATCTTGACATTTTCAGCATAGTGGAATCGATCCACAATGAACGATGCAATACTGGTTTTCACCAGCCTTCAGCAATTTGTTGCGTGAGTAAAGTCAAACGTCGTGTACTTTTTATTATCCATTATTTCTCCGGTACTATTGCTCACAATCCTATTTAGACTATCTATCAAAGCCTTCGACTCAACAGCGATCGTATTGTTGTCTCAAGTGCCTTCACCGTCCTCGTTGTGTCGTGATTTGTGCAACTTACGACTGCGCTGTCTCCAATGCTGCCGCTGCATCGGAGTTGTATTCGCTAGTTCAACCATTGCCAATAATGGGGTTTTCATTTCTCGAAGGATTTGTTCTTTGTTACTTTCTATTGTTTGTATGACCCTTTTCAAGACACTTCAAGTCTTGACAGAAGCTGGTCTACATTCGGTGCCTTTCGTCACACCCGAAGGGACTGAACTTCTAAAGTGAGGAGTCTTCGAGGTCCATTATCACTCATACCGACTTTGTAGGTCATTTCTCGGGATGAGTCCCAGGGCGTGGTATCTCGTGGTCAAGCACATGGTGGAGACATCATCGGCGGTAAGCGGCTTAGCCGAATCGATCTGTTGGGAGAGTTCATCGTAGTTGCTGTGGATGCGCGTGAAAGGTGAAGCTGTGACGAGCGAGGTGCTCGTGGCTAAGCTCTTGCAGATGCCTAAGGAAGTAAATCTGCTTCTTATCAATCGATGGTTGCATTTCCCTCGTTGTTTTCAGCTTAATGACGAGTCGAGTGAAGACACTGAATTAGTACCTGAAATTGTAAGAGTTGAAGAGGCTCTCGGCAAGGTGAGTGCTAGTATGATCACGATAACTAGTGTCTAAGCATCTTCTTGAGCAGGTGTATCTGCCCGTTTATGCGTATTTCTATCATCCTGAGATGAACACCGAGAAAATTCCCGCCAACGAGGATGTCAACAGCGGCCTTTGGGTAAGCATACTCTCCTGAGATTAGAAGTTTTCCGTCGGGAGCAGCAAAGACGTCTCAACTGAGTGTGTACTGTTGCCAGGTGTGGAGTGGAGAGGAGCCTCATTCATCCAAAGATCTCGTGGTTCTCTACTATATTCATGGAGGTGGTTACTGCTTCTTCGACGGCGTGACGAGTCATCTGGAGCTGGTCGCGAACATGGTCGAGGTTATGCAGGAGAAACTCCGCAGCGATGGTTTGAGGGACGCTGCTGTGGTTGCGTACATACTCAGCTACGACACCGCCCCCGAGAAAATACTCCCTACCCAGCTGCAAGAAGTGGTGAAGGGCTATGAATTCTTGCTCTCCCAAAAACGGTTCCCCATAAAGAGCGATCACATCGTCGTCGGTGGCGACTCAGCGGGGGCAGCTTTGTCTTTGGGTTTCCTGAAGTGCCTAGCAGAGCACGATTTCTGTGGAGATCTGCCTCGTCCGGCTTGCTGCTTAGCAATGGAACCGTGCGTTGATATGTCTTACGTTGCTGCACGCAAGCCCTGTGATATTAGCCGTGATATTCTCTCAAACGGTATGATCTGGTACTGTGTATCTGTCTTGTACGGTAGGCCCTCCCATCCTGGGGAGAGGCTTGATACGGTCGATCGCCCATTGGAGAGTGACGACTACGTGCAAAAGGCCGGCAGGTTTGGTGATGAGGAATGGGCTAGGGTGAGAGCGTTGGCTCCCGATGGCAAAATGGAGGAGGTACTCTTCAGCGCAGCTTTATGATGTCGTGATTTTTCTCTCGCCTCAGCATCCTTTGTTCTCGGTCGCACGTGGCAAGTTGGACCCTTCAGCTTTCGGCAACGTACCGATCCTACTGCAGGTGAGAAGCTTGTTGCTCAATCGACAAGTAGTTTTTTTGGTAGATTGGAGCTACTGAAGCACTCAGAGGAGGCGTCGATGCATTTGCCACTAAAGCACGAGAGGCCGTCTGCTATGAAGTTTACGATCGGATGATACACGTCTTCCCTATGTTTTCATCTGTAAGATCATTTTGCTACACCTGGCGGGCTCCAGCTTGTCCGCCCTCTTGTTGCACTTTGTGGCCATTATTTCTGTCTAGGTGATTCCTCTTGGACAAATCGCAATAAATCGTTGGGCCGATTTCGTTTCTAAGGCGATTGAGGGCGAGAAGATGCCTGTCGGACAAGCCTTCGCCATTTTCGAGGATACTGTGGAGCCTTTGCATAAGCAGGATGTGCACCCGGAAAAAGCTGCTATGGCCCAAGCAGCGTGATGGGCTATCGACGACGAAGTCCGTCTAGGTGATGTCGTAATTGACATTCACCAACATACTCATACCTACTGTGTTCTCTGGATTGCCGTATTGAGTTGTTAATATTGTCTGTGTTCGAGCGAATCATGCCACTAGCCTTGCTGAAGACCCTCATTGCTCTGGTGGTGTTAATTCTGCGAACCTACCTTCTCGTGCTGTCCTTCAGCCCCCCTTGAGTTTCGATCGAGATTGTCTCTCAAATTGCTTACTATGATATACTGCCAGTTGCTCCTTGTAGGGTCGTCCGTCGCGTTTCGGTGAGTGGCACGATGAAGCCTACTGGTCATCCGATGACGGAGTAGGGAAAGAATTAATGGATTGAATGAGGGCGAATCGAAGCATTAGGTGAAGGCGGCCGGACTTGGTCGTTGGCGTAGGGCAGCTCTCTGATGTTCTCCTTCGACCATGCTGATAGGGCCACTCGCGTCTAAATACCTTCCACATTTTGCACTGATCTCTCGGGTCAATCTACTTCTGCTGAGCTTGTCATGCTGTATCCCAGAGTCTCGGTTAATACCACAGAGAGAGATGCCCCTCAAGGAGTGGGATTTTTTTCACAGCCTCATTGACAAGTCTCTGCTCGTTGGTCAGCACTTGACTCGACGTAGCTCGTCCAATAGGCTCCGTGAAGCCACATCCAGACCTTGACTGAGCCACTGCTTGGTTTCGAGTCACTGCCATGGGAGGGATACTTCAGTTCTGTTTTCGTAACGGGGGTTGTGAATCAGTGTCTTTCTTTAGTGAGATAAGTCTCGTTGTTGCATTTCTCGATCATGCTTGCCTGGGGTATCATTTTCCGAGTCCCAAGGTTCCTGGTCTCGGTCGTGTATCGTCTTAGCTACAGAAACCAGGGGGAGGAGCTCGTCAGGTGAGTCTTTCTTAAGGAGAGCTCCACTTGGAATTTCTTCTTGGGCAGAAGCCTCTCTAGTTTGCACCTTGGCGCCTGCGGATACCTCATCAAGAACTCTATTCGTGTTGTGGCAGAGGTAGCGCCTGTGTCAACTTTCCCTCGCCACGCAAGTGATTCTGTCAGCTCATGGCCCATGTATTCTTCAGCTGTGATATCAGTTGGTCCCTGACGCTAGCGCTACTGCTACAGCTTCCGCCTGAGGTAGTGGGAGCTTCTGATGTATAGATGAGCCGCTTACTAGTTTTCCGACAAGTCCAGCGACGCGCCGAAGTACTTCGCTGAAGTTATGGCTGTGGTGGACAGCCTTACCAAAGTGGGCAAGTCTTTTATGAGAGTGCCTCACAAGCGTTTGCCCAGGTCTTTGGGCCGCCATTCGCAGAGATGCTTCATCCGCGTTTAAGGACAGAGAGTGTCGCTGTGCAGAAATCCTCGCTGAAGGGCACCTGGGTGAGGACATTGAATGCTACATCTTGCCAGATCGGCGAACACATAACTTGCTATTACCGAGAAACTTGCATGGAAATTCCATGGTGGAATAATAGTCAGAATCACCGCGATCATTTGTGGAATGTGAGCTGTGAGTCGGAGCCAGGATCATCCATCCCTTTAGGTGTATTTCTCTGACTTTACTACGCCTGCGGCTTCGACCGAGCACGTCGTCCTCTACTACATTCATGGTGGGGGATATTGCTTTTTCGATGGAGCATCGAGCCACCTAGAACTTTGTGCATCGTTGATAAGTGAGTTGCAGACCAAGTTGATTTCTTGTGGACGAGCGAGAAGGAAAGTTGTCGCTATGATCATTGACTATTCCCTGGCCCCTCACTGCGTGTTCCCTAACCAGCTCAAAGAGGTGCTGGAGGGTTATAAATACGTCTTGAGTCAAAGCCGCTTCCCCACGAAGCCCGAAAGTGTCGTCATCGCCGGCGATTCAGCAGGAGGCGCGCTTGCTCTGGGGCTTCTCAAGTGTTTGGGAAAGGAGACGTTCGGTTACACCTTGCCTACACCGGCGTGTTGTCTGGCTATGTCCCCCGTGGTGGACTTGGGCAAAAGTCTGAGTGCCTACGAATACGACATGAGTCGAGATATGCTATCGAATGTGATGGTGTGGAACGCTGGAGTGACTCTACTGCAAGGCGAATGGTATAGATTACCTTGTACCGAGGATGCCGATAGGACCGATGAATGGCATATCGTGAGCAGAAATGAGAGCTTCAACAACACGGAAGAAGTCTTATGGTTACCATTGGAAATGGTTTGATGGTTGGTTTGTCGGTCAGGCCCAGCTGGCGAGTGTCGTCTTAGGAGATTCAGGTATGCTCGTAGGCTGCCCAATCTTGTTGCAGGTAGATGCTGAGAAAATCGATCAAATGAGCAAAGCTTCAGGCTGGAGAGGTCGAGGGCTTCATGGAAGATATCTTGCCGTTCGCTCAGCGTGTTGCAATGAAGGCGAGTTGTCGATTAGAAGTGTATGACAATATGATACACGTGTTCCCCATGTTCAGCTTAGTAAGCTACGGAGTCCCATATTCTCGCCTCCGTTTGCTGTGCTCAGATTCTGAAGGAGGGGAAGTTGGCAATTGAGAAATGGGCGGAGTTCTGCATCGACGTATTCGATGGTCGTGGTGGAGGCCCGAGTGGCTGTTACTCAGTGTCGTTGACCGGCAGTGCCGAACCTCTGTCTTGATCGGAGTGATCCTATTGGTCGAAGTGTATGTATAACATCCTACGTTTTCTTCTTGGTATGCCGGAGACTGAGTTGAGGATCGGGCCCCCAGGGGATTCCAAGTTCCTTCTAGGAGGCACGCGAACGCGAGAAAAAGCAAGCGCGTAAAGAACCTCATCGCATAGCTCTGTTATATGGGTTACCATACAGAGGAAAGCCGACTTGTAACGCGAGCCCTCGACAAACTCATGTTGTCGCAAAAAATAGTTGCCTATGTTGTGCGATCGCCCGTCCGATCTCATGCTTCTCGCGTCAGCGTGAACCGACAGCGTCGGGTAGATTATGGGAATGTAGAAGACGTCGTACAAGACCGGGTCTTGAAGACCCATATAGTCGAACTGCAGCTCGATTGAGATGTACCTTATTTGAACAGATCCACATATGATCGGATGCTCTCACTCAAAACCTCCGAGCCGGATCCAGGTTGGATGTGTTCACGCCGTGAGGCTGTGTAGGCTCACGGCGTGAGCACGAGGCGCACCGTACCGCTTCGGTATTGTGTTGCGGCTCGTAGGTCCGAGCTATCAACTCGTAGTCTATATAGCTTGCCGAGTGAGCCCCACTTGGATGGGCAGACATGTGTGACTAACTGTGTTGACTAACTCATCATTCAGCGCAGATGTCAGTGTTGAGTTGTTCTCCAGTGGTGATTGCTTTGATCAAGAGGACACTACATCAGTTGTTGTTGATCAGCATCATGCTCGCACGTTCGGCATTCTTATCGACGGTGCTCGTATACGTCATGAGCTTGGGTGAAGGTACCTCCCACCGCACATTGGTGAGGGTATCTCATCGAGGCGCTCCACTCGACATCCGTCTTGTACCTAATATGATGGCACAGGCCATGGCTGCCACTCGTGTGAGGGCCCACATCCTCACCCAAGATGACCGTAAGTGTGAGAGATGCTTCGAACAAGATGGTATGGTCTATGACTTGACTGCCGTGGGGATCCAAATTGTTGAGTCCACATGCTCAGTTGGCCACAGCGAAATTCTGAACTACTTGAGGAAAGCTGAAGATATCTTGGGCATCGACTTTGATTGTGAGCCGGATTCGGAGGTCACACTGAGTCCTATCCCTGCACCGACTAAGGTACGGGATCTATCCAACTGTACTGGTGGCAATCCTATTCTTGGTACCAACGACCCCATATCTTCCTGCCAGCGTAACCTCGAAGTCATTCGAATGGGAGCTGCCTGGAGAGCCGCTCGCTCGGCCAAACCAGAGTTGAAGAATATTGTGCTCGCCATCATCGACTCCGGTGTCGACATGACTCATCCGGATCTGATTCATCAATTCTGGAGGAACCCAGCTGATGGCTCCATCGGCTACAACTATGTTAACAATAACACCAATGTAACTGATGGTTATAGTCACGGTACTCACTGTGCTGGTATCGCGGCCGCCCAGACTAACAACAGCATTGGTATTGCAGGAGTGGCGAACGTTAACGGGTCGATCCCTAATGTGAAGCTAATGATATTGAAGATCTTCAACTCCTTCGGAATTGGTCTAACCAGTAGTGCACTAATGGCTCTAAACTATTCAATTGCGCATGGAGCGGCAGTGTCCTCTCATTCATATGGATGGCATCACTACTATAAGATCGTCGAAACAGCGTTCAAGAACGCTGCTGCGGCCGGACAGGTCACCATCGTTGCAGCTGGTAATGAGGGATTGACCCTAGATAAAGAACCGTACTATGCCTGCTCCTTGGCGAAGAACATTTCGTCTATGATCTGTGTTGCTGCCAGTACTTCCATTCCAGACTCAAACGTCTCTATTCCATCGTGGTCTAACCTTGGCTCCGTGACGAAAATTGCCGCTCCAGGTGTAGATATAAACTCGACGATACCCGTAGGGTCGTACGGAACTAAGAGTGGTACGTCGATGTCGACCCCTACAGTTGCTGGTATCGCTGCTCTGCTCGGTACTCTTGGTTTAACTGGTCAGAATATTACGGACATTATCATGAAATCCAGGACGTCCGGTATACCCAATAGGTTGAACCTATCTGGTATCGGGGAAGTAGATGCACTAAAAGCGGTGCATATTGCTCTTGAATAGCTCACCAGTCGGCCTCAGCAGAGGCAACTAACTTGCCCTCGAAGGCTGCTGGATTCTTTGATCTGCGGATCAGCCAGTATCATCCAGTCGATTGAAGGGAATGAATCTAATAGTATGTCCATTCGGCCCGCTTGGAGCGACTGAAGTATTCAGCTTCTCGCAGGCATCACACTCTTTTTCTCTTATTAAAGCTTTTTGATAGATCGAATGGTTCAATTCAATGGAATCAATTGTCACTCAATTATGGAGCTCAATCTTAAACCAAAACAAATCTGATCGTCGATGTCCGAATACCCGATAAGAATACATAAATTGATGATTTGCCACTCGCGTTCAGTGTTATCCTCCATCTATCATTGCCTAATCCCCGAAAAACCCAGGTAGAGGGTGCAGACTGCTTCCACAAAACGCTTGGATCAGACCCAAGATCTAGGCTCTACGATCCATTTCGTCGGGACGACTTCTACTCTATTGAATAGAGTCTATTCCGCCTAGGATTGCAAGTCGGAATTTCCGACAGCTCGAATGATGAAGTGTGCTCTTCCGGGGGTGGACTTGTTGCAATTTCCATCAGAACCTCCGGAGAATCCCACTTGGAATGAAGTGTATCACATGTCGAGCTAATCACGCCAATAGTTCAGCATTTGGGGAGAGTCATGTCTGCCCACAGCTTCCTTGAAGTCTCAAGCTCGAGGATCCTACCCTGGTGAGCAGTAGTGGGGATTACAAGCGCTATAATTTGATTACAGGGTACCTTTTCATGAGACTTCTGGAGTTATCATCACTCGAAATTTCCCTTGATATTGGTGTCCCAAACTTGGGAACTCACAGTTTCGCTGCGCATGTTGGTCTCGGCGCATTACCGTCCCTCGCTCGCCCTAACCGTTTCAGGTATACCGTCCCCTCCCAGATGTTCTTCTCGGTCGAAAACTTGTGATCCCGTGCTTAACCGATCCCGAGGGGTTATTCTATGCATTCAGTTCTCATTTAGAGTCTCCCAGTACCGATGAGCATCTCTATCACTCCTCAACAGGTTCCTTCTACTATTACACAGACCACCGCTGGGGCTACATACTACTCTACTCAGCCCACAGTTGGCTCTACTTACTACACTAATCAACCTGCAACTACGTCCTCCGTTGTCCCGCCATCTGGTCCTATGATTGATGAGAAGATAGTCATGAAGCAGAAAGAGAAGGCTCTTCGAGAGTTGGAGTCTCGCGTGAAGCTTGCCTTGCAGCAGCACGATCAGATGTATCAGCTCCAGAAGTCCCACATCAACGCCGATCATGACAGACAGATGGAATACACCAAGGGAACTATTGAGAAGGAGCGACAAGCTGCCCTTTTCGATCTCGAGGGCCAGTACCAGACTAACAACAGAGGCCTAGAGCAGGCTGCAATTCAACAGCGCATGCAGATTGAGACTACTGCTATGCAGCTCGATATCCAGGCTCATCAACAGAAGATGGTTCAGGAGCATCAAGAGCGTGAACGCAAGCGGACTGGTCAGGTCGCTGGTATGCCTCCTGCTGCATACCCTGGCGCTCCGGTTAGCTATCCTTACTACACAGCTCAGCAATCGGGTAACGTCATATACAGCACGATCCAACAACCCAGCACTGGTGCCTCTCCTGCTCCCCAATGAGCTAGGATTTATGAGGGTGTTATTGTACGGTCGAAGAAGTCTTTGCTTGTTTCAGTAACTTGTCAAAGCGAGACCCATACATAACGTTCGATTTCAGCATGATATTGTTGGTTATGTGTTGAGAGTAGTTGGGAGGTGTCGATGGATCAGTTATACAGCGATAGTAATAACCCAGTTTCGTACTGACCTGGGATCTACGCTAATCGAAATGTCTTTTTGTTTTATCATAGAAAAAAGATAAGACATCTCTGATACCACAAGTATATTATCACTGTGATAATCGAGTGTTGATTGGAGTCAATGCTCGAGAATTTTGGTGGATATATGGCCACTGACTGGTGACTACGATTAAGCTAACCTTGAACTTCGAAGACGAATCTTCAAAACAGGTGTTGAGTATTATGCAATGTGACGATTAACATGGCAGCGCCACAGTGGTTACTTTGACACTGCCAAATTGGCACCCGAGATTTTCAACAGCTTTACGTGAAGATTCTGAATAGCAGCCGTAATGTGGCTGAGGACGGGGCAGTTTGCCCCTTCTTATGGAGGATGTCTCCATCCAGTCGCGGTGAGTATACTGCTGTCAACACATCTACGCCACGTGCTCCTTTACCCTCGCAGTATATGGTATAAGCTTCAGTTGTATTCCAAGCTAATACATTCCAGTGGTACATAGTTGTTCATGTAGAGGGTGTCCAACGGCTGTGGAATGGGGATCTCCCATGGGAAGTTGATTGGGGCGATCAACAGAGTGGGAAAGTGAATTAAGACTACAATTTAGTCTCAATTAACTAAATTATGAGGCCAAACTAACTCGACACTAGGCAAAAACGAAACAGTAACGAGAAACGAAATTGTATGGAAGCTTTATGTTTCGGCAAGGGATTGGTGACAGCATACATGGGTGACTGGAGTGCTCGATGGCGAGCGATGAAGTTCTCCGGTTTTTGTGCTAGGAGATCTGGATACTCTCATACATGCATATATGGCCGCATATTGGGCCGCAGAGACAAGTCTGAGCAGAGGATCTGGTGGGTGTGATCAAGAGGAGTACTGACAATGATGCACACTCGCCAGGAAGCCTTTGATGAAGCTGATATTGACGCCGAGTAACAGGACAGGCTGTCGGCCTATGCCACCGAGGGGCGAGACCAGGTTAATCGCTACATCGTTGTAGCCTATGAACCTAACGAGGTTTCGTTCTCTTCCGACCTGGAGCGTATTGGGACCACCTATCAATAGACTCCGAACCGGGGTCATCAGCGATACCAGCAATACACAGAAAGGTTTACATATCATCACGCTTGGCCCACTGGACCAAATTTCCAGTTGAATGTAGGAGAGCCCAACCTCCCCCTTCGTCCCGCCAAGTCGACCCCGGCGAATATGCTTACTCCTACGGCCAGCAGCATCTTGAGTTCAATCGTGGTCGACGGCGGAGCGGAACAGCATTCACGGATTTTCGTCATTGTGACATCGATGGTTCGATGAGAACAGGCCTTGTATAGAACATCACAGGGTACTTTCCATGCAGGGTTGGATCCTTCGAGGATTATCCCGTCATGTATGCCTCATCGTATCGAGTTGGCGATTACGTTGCAAGAACAGTGTAGACGTGTACATATCCTCCATGGCGTGTAATAGTATTCGACACGTTGAGAAAGAAAGTGAAGAAAATGGGCCTCTTTGTATGAATCATCGAACTTGGGTGTTCCCTCCGGGTTCTTCCCTTTGCTTGACTATAACACCACAACGTTCAAGAACAAATCGACCTATAATCGACATATCATGCGCATGATAATATCATGTTGTCATTAGGCTTCCATCTACGGTTCCTCCACAAAGTCTTCAACATTCTGAAACACCAGTTTTTTTCATACACGGGTCTGCCGGGTTTAGCGGGCTTGATTACTCTCCTGAGGCAAACAACTTGGAAGTGTATTGATAATACTCCTGCACTTACTTCGTCGTCAGAAGATCCTATCATGTCGCTAGGAGAACCTAACAAGAACTATCCTTCGTCCGAAACCGAGGTGGGACGCTACCGGGCTCACACTCGGCCTGTTGCTGAATGATGTCCGCATACTGAGGGTACTGAAATACACCAATTGTAAAGCTCACAGCCCCGCACTGCTACATCGCTCATCTTGTCCTCCAAGCGGCGTCTGATAGGCCCAAGAACGCGGTCGAATTTCTCCTTCGAGAGACTCAACACTCGGCAGCCTTTACCAGACGCGTAGACTGTAGCCTTCCTAGGGGCCTTGGTCAACAAAGCCAGCTCGCCAAAGTAACTGGAAGAGTGGTATGACCATTCTAGCGTTAAATTATGCGTTTCAAACCTACTCCCCAGGGGTGTTATAAACTTTGGCGACGACCTCATTGCCATCCTCACCAGTCAAACAAGCCTTAGCCTCTCCCGATTCGAGGATGTAGAAGCTGAGCAACGCACTATGAAGGATTCCCCGCTGCATGTGGGGGAGGACTTATCGCCGGGCTCTCCTTGCTTCATGAGGACATCTCCGGCCTTGTGCTCTTTCGGCTCCAGCATGTCCGACAGTTGGCACAACTCGTAGTGATTGAGATCCTTCAGTATGGGCATCTGCCATGGGAGAATGACAATGAAGTCATCCCCAACGTAATGAGGCTTAAGATGAGACTAAACAGTTCACTTGGCCCTCGAGGATGGCACAGCTGTGATGATGACCAAGTTAGTCCTCACTTACTGATCGTAAGAAATCCTCGTACTTCTTCTTCTTAGTCGACTCGGCCGAAATGACCATCATTTGGAAGGATAAACGGTCGAGTCCCCAAGTCTGAACATACCACAACGAGTTGAAAAACAAAGCAAGTGCTTCTTCTCTGTTCGCATTTACCTTGCCGGCCTCTGTACACTTCACTGTTGCCGCTCGAGGAGCCTTGTACATGAGGGCTAGCTCACCAAAGCATGCACCCTTCGTACAGCTCAGGACCTACACTCCTCCACGGTACTCCTAGCCACTACGGAGGGGCTCACTTTGTCACCGAGAGGAACATCATCGCCAGCAGGAGCGGTATCGCCCTCAGGGGATCGATAGACGTAGATGTCATATTGACCACTCTCGACTATCCAGAAGGCATCACCCTCATCTCCTTGCTTTATGAGAATGTCTCCAGGACTGAAGCTTCCCGGGTACCTACCACACGAAACAGGTCACGAGAAATTGAACTGCATGATGCAACCTTCGAAGGGATAAACTCAGAGATGTTGGTACCCGCGAGTTAAGATCAAAATCGAATCACAAGTTGGAACTGAACACGGAGATTGCGAGGATCGTTACATGGCCATGATGACGTCCGTGATTTCTTCCTCATCTAGGTGACCGAATAGAACCTAAAAAGTGATTCGGCATAATCAGCCTCGCGAGCCGGCGTACATGGAGTCTCTCGTTGGTTCGTATGATGTCGCGGAGCATCTTCTGGGTCGACTCGTCCTTCTCATTGACCGGCTTCACCCAGTTCTTCCTGTCCTCTTCAGAGACCGTCTGCGCTGATACTCCGGACCGGCGTCGTCTCTCGGTAGTAGGCTGAAGGGCACGGCAATGCGAATAGGTAGAAGAACTGGTGCGTACCACTTCGAGGCGTGACCCATTGCTACCACCAGTGGAGCCTTGGACGACCTTGTTGAAGGAATACGCGATACGAGCAGCAACATGACAGAGAGCTCAGCCTACCTCAGCAGAAGGTATCTTGCTCGGTTCGGACGATGCTCCACAGCCCATGGTTGTGCTGTAAGTGATGAAGTGACCTTGTGCAGTGCGGTTTCGATGCGTTTTCTCTGCATTTAGGTCAGTTGCACTACAGATGCAGGAAACGATCGTCGATCAAATCGCCACTTCGACGACACCTCCATCTTGAGCATGGTCAAAGGTGTAACACGAATCACTATTCCTCACCAGTCATGTACACACTAGTGCTGTCGGCAATTTTATTTTGAGAGGCCAACATGTCGTACTTGGCTTGCAATCGTCCATCTCAGTACATTAACGGTTAGTAAATATTCCCATGTCCCTTGCCGATGCGATAGCACTATCACCAAGGGATAACGTGGCCTCCGATGAGGCGGAATCGACTCGTGAGATAGTAGACAGCGACAGTGTGGTCGTGGAGGTCCCCAGAAAGGCTGCTCAAGTGAGGATATCCGTCTCGAAGGCACAGGTAGTAGTATAGGGGTCCATGGGAATAGTAGTAACGCAATCACTAGTCAGTGGGAGTCAGTTCACCTGTATCAAGAGAGCTCTACTCGGGGAGTATCCTCACTCACTAGGTGAGTGCTGTGAGACATATAGCAACACTGACTTGGAGACGTATACATCCGAGTCGATCTACAGTAGATGTAATACTCTTTCATTCACTACGGTGAATACTGCAGAGACGCTCCTGAGATGTGTATTGTTCATGCGACGTACGCTCATAAACACGATGGGGCTTCAGAAGCTCTGCTTATGGATTTTCATCTATAACGGCACACGCTTTACAGGTCGACGCGTCATACCAATGCAACCCCTCGAACACGTTGTTTCTTTTTTGTTTGCTCATGCGTGGAACTGGACGGTGCATATCTTGAAACTTGAATGCTGAGGTCTGTTGACGCCTATCTGATGGAAAACTGGACGGGAAATTTTGTGGTGAATTTGTCTCTGCTGACCTCGTCGTTTATGAATAAATTATGTCCGCTGCGATCACGTCTGTCAAGAGTCAGAACGCATTCATCGCCCTTCAGGCGACGACGCCCTCTCAGTTCGGTATCACCCCTCTGGATAAAGCTCTGGAAAATCCTGTTAAGCACGAGAGCGAAATCAAGTACCACGTCATGATGGCTCGAGAGAAGCTTCCGTATAACGTGCTGGCGAGAGTAGTAGGGCACTCGAACGTAATGCGGTGTCTACTGGACGTGAAGCCATCGCCGTTCGCTTCGGAGACCATACTGGAAGCATTGGGTCAATGCAGTGTCACGGGTGACTACAAGTGTTGTGGAGCTTTGATGGGAGCATTGAAGGAGCCTGGGGATCTCCTCTTTTCTGCTCTGAGGCATGCCGTGGTCAATGGTAACCACCGCGTGGCGATGCTCCTATTGGGCAAGTGCGACCCGGATCCAGACGTCCTTAGAGAGGCATTCTGTAGAGGGGATAGTCGTATGTTCGGTTTGCTAGTAAACTTGAGCCCATCGGTGGACCTCGGTATTGGCAAGCTCTTCGATGGAGATTCGAATGAAGCTGCACAGAGGAGGCTCTTGGAGGCTGTGGTCTGTAGTGGTCTGGTGGCCGATCGGGTGAGCTTCCTTCACGCCCTATGATATATGTGCTCACGCCTCGTTTTTCAGTTGAATGAGGACAACGTTGCGGCTGTTTTAGAACGTCTCCCATCTGAGGCTCAGGCCGAGACTCTTAAAATACGTACACCCTTGTCACGATTTCGTTATCCTGATCGCCTGGCTGCTAGCTGTGGTGATTGTGGTGTGCAGGGGTTCCTAGTTGGCCCTCCGAAAGGTAACAACATCTCGAGTTGTCTCGCATCATTTTGGGTTCCTCTCAGGTCTGTTTGCTAACCTCCCGATCATCGGCTCCCGTGCGAACAGTCGATCGGCATACAACTGCGATGCTTGCGGGTCAGCTATTTGCGGTATTTGTCGGCGCGTCTTTGAAGAAGCACAGAGGCCCGTCACACTATGTCGAGAATGCTCCAGGAGCTACACCGGACTCTGGGGGGCTCTCATCCCTAGACCACCTGTCTAGTGGAAGCACCGGAGGGGTTTCTGCAAGAAGCAGTTCTATGAATGATACAATACACGTGCATGAAGCTGTTAATTGGCATCAGAGGAGCTGAGTTATTGTGTTCATAGTTGGGCGGACGAGGCTAACTAAATCTGAATTTTAACACCTTCTGAGATTTCGGGATTAGTTTTCAGTGCCAGGGTGAGAAACTTCCTACTACAACGCGATGAAACTTCTCCGAGTCCCAAGAGGATTTTCGATGAGGATGGAGATGGTTTGGATAGAGAATCTCAAGTCTAGAGTATCGAAGCCTGCCGAGTTAGCTCCATCAAGCGTCCAGGAGGTGCTCGTGCCGTATGCAGTAGAGATGAGAGTATTCTCCTCCCCTTCCCTCATGACACCCTCGGCATGTCCTACACATCCACTTAAGTACCCATGTGAGAGGCCTCGGCTGGCGGCTCGGGCACTGATACGCATTCTGAGTCTGCCGATAGACATTTATAAGCGTTGCTGCCACTTCTGCGGTGGTTACTAGGCTGGAGGAGGAATCGGCTACTGGGAAGCTCGTGGCATCATGGTCACATCGATGTCGAAATGGCAGAGTTCGCGCATGTAGACTTCGACAATGTTGAATGATAGAGGTTCTGAGACGGTGCATTTGGATGCCGACTTTGAATCCTGACATGTTTCAGAAGCACTGTCGTGCTCGACTGAGTCAAGAACATTCCTTGGCTGTGTTTGACTCGTCATCATGATCAAATTGAGCTTGAAAATAGGTAAAGTTTACTCATTGTACTGTTTACTTGAAGTAAACTACACAACGCAAGAGAAATGGGAGAGAATTTGAAGTTAGAATATGAACATGAACGCTATTGCATGATTGATTAATGAATGTCACGCGTACTGGCTGCTATGTATAACTTTCTCGAGAACCTGAAAGTCGTTGGAGATGGGTGGCCGTATTTACTTCACCTTCTTGCAATAGTCCAATACCAAACTCGAGGGGAGATTTGTGGGGGGCGGCTGAGACACCGCATCCACGATTGTGCGGAAAACCTGAGCCGAGAGCTCTGCCTGCCACTGATGCCTATCGCCAACCTGAGTGCAGGTGACCTTCTTGACGCGGACTGGTATCTCGTGATTTATTAGGAGCTTCTCAATCAACCCATAGCACTCTTCCTTCGACAAGCCTGTACAGTTTTCCCACATAAGCTGCCCAGGGCGGCATCTCACCATCAGTCTCGCGATGATCCACTAGTGCTTTTGAAACTATTGGGTCGCTCTCGGTAAGGTTATTCAGCAGTCCTCGAGCCTGGAAATTTACCCATCTCCCAGAGTTACCAAATAACTCACCCTGACGATCTTCACGGGAGATTCTTTCGACTTTCTACCGCCACTACTGTCTCTGAGAGATGATATACCAGAGATGAATACAGACCGTTTTGTTACCTGCCACCGAGTTTCTTCGCTGAGAGGGGGGATTTGATCAGAGTGCTCTCGCTCGGGAAGGCACGTTGGGTCTTATGAGGCATCGGCGACTCGGCGAATGGGCTGCCGCTGATTTTGCTGTACCGTCCGACCTCGAGATCGTTCAGTGTAGCATCTTAGAGAAAATGTTCCAGGACGTCTCTATAGCTGCCTTGGCTCACTCGTATCCGCCGGTCCAGCCACACTGAGATACTTGGACTTCACACCTGCATACAATGTCACTATTTCAGATCAACAACATAGACTACTGCTTCCAACGTTGAAGTCAGTAGATCTGTTCTCTTTCTTCCTGGGCATCTCTTTGCACCGTGCCAGCTCCTCCTGTAGTCTGGCAATCTCCCTCTTGAGGTCGCTCACTTCAGCGTGTAGCTAGCACAACGGCTTTCCCTCTGGACTGACGAGCCGCATCCCACTTTGCTAACAATCTTATTCTTGCTAGTCGCCTCCGTTACTGTTATGTTGATATTCTGCAGTTTTTCCTAAACTACCAATCCGTCGAAGATTCGCCACTTACCCCTACCTCCGCCTCCCTTCGTGCTCTCTTGAGCTCAGCTCTCTCCTCTTGCATGTGGGCGATCTCATCTCGAGCCATTTCCAATTGCTGAAATACACAACATAACCACCAACAGAAACTGCATGAACCAACCTCCTGGAGCCCTTCCAGCTCCCTATTCTTCCGTACCATAGCCGCGGCACTGCTCTCGCCACCATCGCTACTGCTCCCGTCTACGCCAGCACAAGTATCAACGCCCCAGTAGTTGTCCACCTACCCGTGTTCTGCTTCAAGTGGGACAGGTTGGAGGTCTTGATGACCTGAAGCCTCACATAACCGCATTATTGCGTCACCACACTGTACGTTACATCTTCCTTGTATACACGCCCTTCCGCTTTCACTTCAGCCAGCTCAGCTCTATGAAGTGCCTGCCTAGCTTCCTTCCTAGCAGCCTCCAAGTCTAGCCTCAGTGCGCTCTCTCTGTCAACCACAGCGTCTCTAGCCGTCACAGCAGCGTCCCGTTCCTATGACCTCAGCGTCACTATAAACACGCTCTCTAAAACTGAACTACCTTCTCAGTGTTGCGGAGTTGCTCATGAATTCTCTTCAACTCCGATCTGTCCGTAGTCGAGGAGTTGAGCTCGACCCTGCAGGACAGTACCGTTTATCATAAGCACCCATCCTCACTGCAGCATCTCGTTCTCCTGGGCCGCCTCCTGGAGGGCCTGTTCGAGCTTCGCAATATGGCCTCGCTGTGCTTCCGTCTCACTGACCAGCATCGTCTGCTCCTATACATCAGATTTATGAGTAAGATCAACCTAGCGACCACAAGCTACCTGCGCCACCAGCTGGCTCTGCTGCTCTAAGTGAGCCTTGAGTGACGCCAATTGCTGAGGGCAAAATGCATCAGTAAACGATGGAGGAGCCCCAGGGCCCCACCTGCTTAGTTTCCCTCAATGTTCCCATGGTCTCCTCGAGGTCATGCTTCGTCTGATGAATAAATAGATATTCGAATACGAGAACCCGAGTTCGATTCTACCCGACGAGCTTTTTCCTCTGAAGAATTGAGTTCGCTCTGGACTCGCTTCAATTCAGCTGTCCGGCTCTCTAGCTTCCGATTCTACAGTGAGTGGAGTTTGCAGAAGTACCAGAGAGACAGTATGCTCACCAAGTCTGCAATCTTCGGGTCGGGTGCACGACTAGCCGCCGCAGCCGATACCTAATGGCCGAACTCTGTCACTGCGCCACGAAATAGGTTAGTCAGTCTCACGAGGGACTCATTCTCCGTCCGTAGCTTGGACAGGGCCGCTTTGAAGTGCCCCTCGCTCACTTTGTAATTGTCTAGCTCTGCGCTCAACTTTCTGCCTTCCTGACACGCTTCGAATCCACCACGAGAGTGCCACCATGAATGTAACTCGCCTCTTCCTTTTCCCTCAACTTGTCGGTCGTTGCTTGGAGCTCCTTTCCCAAAGCAACGAGCTCAGTGTGAATCTTATCCACCTCAGCCTGGGTCGGACCAGTGTGCTGCTGTACACGACCAGGAGACTCGACTGAAATGGAGTACTACACGCTAGCCCAACGAGAGATGCTAATGCCTCTATATGCTGCCTGTTGCTGCGGATGAACTCCATGGGCTACACTCCGCTCAAGGTTTGACATGTTCGTACTCTGAATACAAGCCAGATAGGACGTCCATAAGCTCTCCTCTCCCAGTTACCGTAGCACGCTGCTTAGCTACTTGAACCCTTGGGGGTTGGCCCATACTGTTATTGGTGTTTTGTGAGGGAGCTTGGTGATGGCTGGGCGCCGAGCCAGCAGCATTGGTGTATTGTGGCAGTTGTTGTTGCTGCTGGACAAACTGTGATGGTCTCGGCGAGAGGTGGTTAGCAGTGTGGTGATGCTGCTGCTGCTGTGAGACGTTATTGACTGATGACATGTTGCTCTAAGAGACCACCACAGTGCCCGCTCTAATCTCGAAGCCGACCTACTCCTGCTGCACTAGCTCCTACGGGCGTGTACTGCCCCATGACGTAGCCTGAATTGGGAACCTGTCCGGAGACGTTTCGAACAACCATTCGACCAGGTTGTTGTTGCTGCTGCTGTTGCTGCGGATACTGCAAGCCAGTTGAGTGATAATGCTGAATCGGGTGGCCCGAGGTATTGTTTAAGAAGGAGTTAGGACGATAGAACATAGTGCTGGACAGAGTTATGAATGCTGGGGGCCGGATTGACACTAAACTGAACTCAGGTGAGGGGCAAAGTGCCTCCAGAAACGAGTGCGCCCGAATTCGAAAAACTACAAAGTTCGTTGCGGCAGCGCTAGTCCACGGACTCCTAAGGCTCCAACCGTTTCCGTTGTAAAATATTCCGCGCTGCAGATACCTGATCCGAGATATGTATGATGAGATTATACCAAATAAAGTGAGCACCTCTGAATCCGATCCCGCTACAAGATACTGATGAACGCCCTCGTCAGGACCGCTCAATCGACGCCTACTGGACCCTGGCTCTACCATCAGGGGGGGATCCATGTCGTTTGATGAGATGGCGGCACAGCAGGGATCGGCTTCATCAATCCTGAGATGATTCTGCAGTGAGGCGATGGGATTATGGACGGGACACGAATTGTGACACTGGCATACCACACTTCCTACACATCACCCTTGTGTTATGCCCCGTCTATTGATATTATGTTTGTCGACTGTACTCGAACAGGATCACTTATGTAGTGATTTCCTTTCGTTCACAAGAGTACTCTTGACAAAACCCTAAACCGTGATGATGATACGTATACCGCATCCACTCGGAGGTTTAGTTCACTCCAATGCTTTGGATGTGCGACTTCGATGAGTTCATCTACCATAATAGGTAGATGTGGGTGACGGTAATACTGAGCGGTTAATCTTATTGGCGAAATGTTGGTATAATATGAAGTCGTTGGCTCATACAAGAAGCTACAGTTACCTATATAAATATAAAGAAAATTTGTTTCTTGAATGAGTAAAGGTTAGTTCCGCAAAATGTTTCAATCAATCTATGAAAAGAGGTCATGCAGCGTTATGCAGTTATTACCCGAGTGAAATAACACCAATGTGCGACCTGTTACATTGTAAGCCTTTTTTGATGAGCGTAAAATTTGAATTTCTCGTAAGTTTCGGCGGGTCTTCCAACAACTCTGATAACGTCTGGAAGCCATTCACAAGAGCTTTCGAATGGTATAGGATTTCTCGCGAAATTGAACTTGCCCTAAAAGCTATTTAAGGGTTTCTCAGGACACCCTGTCTGAACATTCCATAGTTGCCACCTTAAAACTAGAGTTCCATGATGACTGTGGAATTATGGTTATTATCCGGTACGTGTATAACAGGTATTACCTGTATCCTGTAGGTTCATCACTGGTCGGGAGTATTCGCCCAACAGCCACTCCGAGGATTACCTGACTGTTGCTAACGCACCGAGCCAATGAATGCAGGCAGTGATACTACCGTGAGAAAGAGTTCCCCCGAGTAAGTCATCGCGACGAGCATAGCCATATAGGCCAATATGAGATTGATACAGAATAACACTATAAGGATGAGTTTCCCTCGGGCGGATGATCGCCTAGGACCTAGCTCAGACGATGGACGGCCATGGGGGACAGTGGCATACCAAGAGCATTCTCGACTCCTTTTCGTAGCCGTAGAGCTCCCTCGGCGAGAACACCAATACAGAAGACCGCTATCATTCCGAGGAAGAACTTAAGTGGAGAGTCCAATACTATGAACGGGAAAAAGAGGATGATACAATGACGATTTCGCGACCACAGAAACCTGTACGCCACCGCGGGTACGAATGCATAGTGATGGGAGGACTCACTGGAGGCCAGACATGACCATGTCGGTTGAGCCCTCACAAAAAGGCTCGTCCTCGGCGAATTCTCCAGCGGTAGCAATCCCTGCTGGGCACCTACGCACACAAGAGATGTCTAATAGATGGATATTGCAAACTCTACCTCAATGCACAATCCGGCTGCATTTTGCCCGGGGTCATGTCACACAGATCCATCTTGCGGAAGTCCCAACAAACGGCGTTCTCAGCGGGACAACCTTCTGGTGGAGTCATACAACGCAGCCAACAGTAGACCTGAGGCTCTCTCCCAGCCAGCACGAGGCCATAGAGGCACGAGTACTTGGCCTGCTGCGCACTGACTGAGCATACGTCTAGACTGGAAGGCTTGAGGGGCCATGAAGAACTGCTGATAAGATACCCCTGCCGAGTTAAGGGCCGTAGGTGGTGCCATCATCATCCGACCGAAGACGACTCGTGGCTGACTCCCATTGGAGGCAGGTATTGCCACCTGACGTAGAAGTGTGAATCTATTGCTCCACGATGGCGCACCCTATGGCGAGCTGCCATGATGTCAACTGTCGAGGCCATCCACGACTTTAAAGCCTCGCCGAAGATGACCACCAAGGCATCACCATCATCTGGGATTGATACCACTCCTTCTTCAAATTGAAGGCTCCTGTCACCTGGCAGAATACATCTGATCTCTACGTTCAGAGAAGTAACTCACCGGGAGGCAGAGACAATAATAGAAATAGTCCCATATCAGCATGCATCTCCACTTGCACTCCTCGGGATGCAGTGGCGTCCTCAGGGACACTATATACGTTCCAATGGTCTAGATGATGTCTACCACCATCTACTGAGACGATTTCCGAGACAGTCGACAACTGCTGCCCTCCCTCCAACGTCACAGCAGTGTCCGTTACGCCCAAGAACAAGGTCTCATCTAGAAGCCTAGCCAAGCTGTGGGTTACCTGCCATTCACAGCATCAATACAGATGAAAAGAGCTGTGCTCAGCAAAGCCCCACTGTTCGCATCAATTCATCCACAGATCGAACGTCAGGCATGGACAAGCAACTCGGCACTTGGGAAGCTTCTCCCGCATATAAGGCAAGCGTTCGCTTCGTTTCGTCGGAGAATCCAAACACCGACTCATTACAATCGTTGACCAAAGCGTGTGATAGGCGAGCTCTCGCAGTCAAGAACTCAATGGGGAGCCCTGTGATGGTGAAGTGGCCTCGTTCTCGAGCGGTATCAACTATGTCCCGTCCGTGCTCGCTGATACTACCAAACTTGAGACTCACCTCGGCCTGGACGGTGACCACGGTCGCTCCCAATAAGGGGAGAAGTGCAGCATGAAACATTTAAAAGAAGTAGAAGGCCTACAGAGGAGGAGCCACCGTATCCAAGGTCTCGGAACGCAACGTTCAGTGTGAGAGCGAGAGACAACGAAGAAACGGTGAATCCATGGTAGAGGCACAGGAGACGACAATGCGCAGTTCGGTAAGCGAGGCATGAGGAACTAAGCCGAACTGTTGAGACATTTTTCAATACAGTTAAAGGAGATACGAAGCAGATAGGATCAGAGGTTACTGTTCAAGAGGTGGTAGTTTTCCCTATTCCCTAATATTGTTGTTACCGCTAAGGGAAAAACTATGCATATAATCATTCACTCGTGACGGTGTCCATGGAAATCTGAGGAAATTATTGGTCTTTGCACATCTCTATGCTGAGTCGTGTGTATACTGTAAGTCTCGATCATGTAACCTTGGAAACTCCTGAGCTCAGCTGAGGAAATTAAATTTGTTTCCAACACTGCCGTTCCGCTCTAGTAAGTTACTAGTAGTAACATGTGTTCTTATGACATCACGTTGCCCTTCAAGCTCGAACGAAGCGCCCTGTACGACAGTGTGCATGGAGTATTCGAATAATGACCATCTCTATCTCCGTCATCAAGGTGAGGCCCATCCTAGTGTCGAGACAAGTTGCAACAACCTTGTACGAGGCGCCGCAATCTCGAAGACGAGTGATTCCACCCAAAACTAGGCTCATGTCTTCGTCCTGCCAAATACTGATTTCGCCTGTTCAAATGGAACAAGCTGCATATCTCAAACCAACAGCAAGATCCTCACAAAAGGGTCCCAGCAAGAGTCCAGCCGATGAGGCTCAGCATGGAGGGTGCTGATAGGGGCAATGCCCGAGCACTGTGAACCGCCATCAACATCCGTCGTTGATTTCTGCTAGGGGATAGGCAGGGCAACGAATGCTCCCGAGATTAGCGCGAGGTCCTCACAAATCACCTAGAGGCAGGTAAACTCACTTCGCCATAGTAAAGGCCTCTTCCATCCAAACACTCCGACAACCACTGTTCCGTGAGGTCCGATATGAGAATGCTTTCTCCGCTGCGTTGTAGATGCCCACCGTGAGGTATGCTGAAAAAGATGTGCTGAGGGTTTCACTACTTCCTCGTGTACCTCGACGGCATCGACCTCAAAGACACGTTGAGTGTCAGTACGTTATGGCCTGTCTTCTCTGCCCGTGGTACTCCGTGGAGTGCTAGGTCGGACTTTAAACTGAACAATAGCAAGACAATGCTCAAAGAATATCCGCAAGGAATCAAAGAATTTTCGAGCGCAGGAAGATGATGGTATCTCCATCTTCCTTCTTCCATCATCGCGCCTTCTCGATGAATGCCACTCCTCTGAGAGGTAGTTCGACGAGCTCCAACAGAGCGTCGGAGTCGACAGAGGTCGTCAATAAGAAAAACATAGGAAACCGAGGACCGTACTTGAATCTACCAAAGTGGAACCTGTAATTGGCACACAAGTGGAATGATACAGACAGTCGTATGCATCAATGAACATTATGTCGCTCGTGCGTGGACATTGACATCATGGGTCACGCCGTGCCCCTCACTAATGCTAGGCATTTGCACGCACGCACATACCTTGTCTTCCCCATTACATGTACATGTAATGCTGTTTGCCTTTACTCCAGGCAACCAACGTGTATCTTACCCCTATGAAATGCTAACTAATTTATTATTGAGCGATGAATCAGTTCCAGACTTCCCGGGGCGGTTGAAAAGGGCCAAAGACTGGCCTTGCCGACAAACAGTGACTACCAAGGGGGTCTCCAGATAGATATCTCAACAGATCACATCGGCGCCAAGGCTGAACGACCGAACGTGATCCTAACGAGAATCTTGTACAGTCGTACCTGAAATGGTACGCGTATGAGCGGCAAGCCCTAGCATGGTGGACTCAAGCCAGCATATATCGAAAAAAGTTCAAGAACCAACACCCAGAACTAACTTGCTCAGCGGAGCGCTAACACTCCTCTAGCCGAGCTGTGATGGAAATATATGAGCAACACGTGCATGTTTTCCGCGTCAACATACTTTGGCACATCTCTGAGAGGCTTCAGCGACAACCAGGAGTGGCCGCCGGAACGTTCGGATCGGCTCTCGTATCGAGTATCTTGCGCACCTGATAAAACATGCATGGTTTGCACAATAAATTTCGCGGATTCTCCGATCCACGAAAGAGACACAGATTGTGTAACATACCACTATTCGTACACATCCTAACACAATAAGGCAGTGTGACGTCTGATACACTTGTCGACTGTACTCGAACAGGATCACTTATGTAGTGATTTCCTTTCGTTCGCAAGAGTACTCTTGACAAAACCCTAAACCGTGATGATGATACGTATGCCGCATCCACTCGGAGGTTTAGTCCACTCCAATGCTTTGGATGTGCGACTTCGATGAGCTCATCTACCATAATTGGTAGATGTGGGTGACGGTAATACTGAGCGGTTATTCAGTACAGCAATTAGAGCAATGGTAACAATTTCACCCCGACCTAAAGAGTGCAATAAAGGTAATAAATTGTCAAGTCGCAGAATCGGGAAGAATAAAGTACAGTCGCTAGGTAAAGTCGCTTGCCGCGGATTGTGATTGACCTATCATTCATAGCAAGAATAAAGTTGAGTTAGGATGAGAAGTTACGTTGAAAATTATTGCTAATATTTAGAGAACAGCCATCGAGAGCCGCTGACGTACTCTTGTCTGTTCTTTCCGGTGAATGCTCACGATTAAAGTAAATTCTTTAACCATTCAACGTGATGCTATGGTCACTGATCGGTGAGTTCGAACATTTCCTGATACACTAACAACTCAACTCGCCAAGTTAGAACCATCGAATATTCGTTTGCGACACTCGCTCTGGAAGAGCCCCGACGAGCAATGGAGATATTGATGGTTTTTCATACGGTATGAACCATACCAGGATCGAAGGACAGGGAAACGTAGAGATACAATATGATGATGCGGATGATTGTGGTGGTGATCACGAGCTGTGATTAACGGGTCAATTGGGAGTAAGTCACTAACCTCCCATAAACACCTTGGTCATCTGCTAGGCTATATCACTATCAACGAGCTGTCGTAAAACCCCCAGAAATGATTAACTGTGGTGAAGAAACGTACAATAGCTTGAGGCGATTCAAATAACGTTTGCTCCACAAGTTAAAACTGTACAAACTGGCAGCCGAGATAGTGCTCCTAGTGAGGTAATAAAAAATTATCGCCTTGTACCAGGGCGCATCATCATCTTGCAGAGCACACGTTGTGTTTGAGTCTAATAATGTAGAGAAATCGAGAATGAGACTACAGCGGACCGACCTACGTGAGCGATACCTCGCAGGGAACGCTGAAAGAAAGGCGAGTGCCTTTGACACATCTATTGGAGCGAGTAAACGCAGGAAAAACACGACAATAACTACACATGTCTCACTACAGCTATATTAGCATATCTATCTCACTGCTATGATACTTACAATACAATACAGCGGCAGAGTCAGCTTAAAAACAGGCCACCGCCACTGTTGTAAATGTCAAACTCAGCTTATTAGAGCACATGTGTGGCGATAAGAGTGGGACTGTTACTAAGACGATGATTTAGTAATGACGACAATACGACAATGTGACCGAAGGTGATGTAGTTCCGTTTCTCAGTTTTCCACTTTCCAAAAAACGTCGGCAGTAGACAGTAGTAACAACGATGGCGACAATGGACGCTCTAGTGAGAAGGAATACATCAACTGCGGGTCACATGACGCGAAGACTCAATCATCGAAATGGTAGCCGCCCAGGTATATCACACGCCAGTTCCCCTACCAAACGATGGAGATGAGTCAGAATTGGAAGACTTGATCATAGACCTTGAGATAAAAAAAAGTGTAACCAAAGGTGGTGAGAAGGTTGGGACTATCCTACGTGGGATCACGTTTATACGGCTACCCAACGGCAGGCAGAAAAGAGATGAACCCACGGACGGAAGCCCAGGGAACGGACTGAGCCGAACACTAGGAAACCATGGTGACGCAATGATACAAGAAGAACCTCAGCAACAAGAACCAGCCAGCACAGAATCACGGCATACTAGAATTGCAAAGTTCGGCAGTACAGTTGCCTTGACAGCAAGAGAGGAATGCTCGCTGTCTACACTACACTGCATCGTCAACAATACGGTACCGATGAATTGCTATGCTGCTTCAACTGCTTCACTGGAATAATATGCGACTGAATCAATAGCTGATAGGATTCAAAGAAGATGGAATACGTCAGCAAGACTATTCTTCTAAATCCATATCACAGCCCATGGCCTCCATCCTCGCAAGAAGGTTCTCTTCAGAATCAGAGTCCTCCTCGTCACCCAACATGGCCCTGAAAAACGATACGACCTCAATACAACAGCACCACAACTCACCCTCCACGTAAGGGACAAGTTTCCCGTCCTCGCGGAAGGCTACATGTTAATGATGTCGACCATGATCGGCGTTGCCTCGGTAGCTGCTGCAAGCTCTCAACATACTCTTCCAAATCAGACACGGTCTCCGACCTGCTCAAAGCTCAATCGGCTGTCCGTATATCTCGTACCCGACTAATTTCCTGCCCAGTAAATTTCCCCAATGGGAACACTCAGCGATTGTCTCTATCATACTATTTTCGAAATGCCATCAAGCCATACCAATACACAAACAATAAAGCCAATGACTACACCTCACCTGTGGCGAGCATAACGCGGTTTCGACGGCTCAACGCCCATGAGGTTAGCCATGGACTCGAGGTCATCGAATGTGGAATAAGTCTTCTCCTTCAATGCAGAATGGCCGTCGAAATCTTTTATCCCGCATTCTGAGCACATAAGATACCAATAACTCCTCGACCCACAACATCTCACTTGTCTCGAGGACTATTCCCTGCCAACCAGAGACGGATGAGCTCGACAGACGCTTCGTCGTAGTTTCACGAGAAGCGCCCTGTCGACAGCTCGTGTCGTTCATAGGTGACTCTGCGTCAGAGTCGGAACTCAAAAGGGTTCCAGTCAAAATATCATCGTCATTATCAGAGTAGACCTCTGGACGTTCACAAAAACGCACTTGCACAACTGGCTCGAATCGGACCCCAGGCCTCAACAGAAATGCCGCTGCAAAAGTGTCAGGAGATATAGGAGATGAAGCTACTGTCGATGGACTGAAGAGAAAGTAACAACAACAATAACAACTCTACCGCGATTTGGAAATGCATATTTACGTTTTATCCGGAGACAACAGCGGGTGTCGGCAGTCTACATTCCCATCGTAACAACACGTAAACGAGCCAGCCTTTTCTGAAGCATCATACTTCATTATTTGAGTTTTACGTAACAACTACGGGAGCCTAGAGAAATGCCATTCTTACTACTACCGTCGACAAGCCGTAGATTATTCAGTCGAAATCCACCACTCTCTCTTCGACTTAACATCTTCCTGAGACAATACCACTCCCCGAGCAAATACAGTACATTCCAAACGCCCCAACAACTACCACCAACACTACTGTGACTACCAGGTGAACCCCGCGTACGAGAAAATACTACGAATATCGAGATCATGTGCAGTTACCTATGGGGATTCCACGACACGATAGTTGACAAGCAGAATTAGCAATATTAGAAATGATCGTCCAACTTCACCCACTATTACCCTGAATTGGTGAGGTTCTCTTCTACAGGACCTTCCAGCCCTCGTTGCTGACACCAGTAATCAACCGATGATAGTTTTATAACAGATGGAGCCTCAGGCCGCGATAACATGATAATAACGTCGCAGCAAGGCGAGTATGTATAGTACGTACCTTGCGCTCGCGTTCGAACACTTAGCGCTCGCCCAAGTAATCGATTCAGAAATTCACGCGCTTTCCCAGAGTCACGAACGCAAGTAAGTCAAGTGCAGATAATCGAGTAACAGTAGGGCCTGTATTGAGGCGATGAGACAATCTGATGTCTTCGTATAGGAGACATAAAAGATCTTCACGGAGAGGGGTGAAACAGCGATTGGAATAACATATTCATATCACTACATACATAAACATCTCGGCCAAAGGTCGCCTCAGAGGGATACCCCAACAGTTTCCCACTACTCCTCAGTACTTACGAATCTACGAAAACTCTTTAACGGGGGCGGTCTCTTGCCAGAAACGACGGAAGAAATCAAAGAACTCAGCAGAAGTGCTAACCTTGTACCTGGCAGACCTTAACTCCAACTCGAAGATCATGTCGAAGGCCTACGGTGTCGGATTAATCGGTCTAAGGTGGTCCTTTCTGAAGGTATTCCTGGTCTCCTTGAAATGCTCTTTAGCGCTATGAATATCAGGGCGATCATTCTCCTTAGTACGGGGGGAAGATGTAAGATGGATCGCTTTCCCTAAACGATTTCAATTCAAGGAACAATTCCCTATCCCCTATGACTACCGTCTTTCCACACACAAATCAGCAGAGGCTCCACCTTCTTAGGGGTAACATAACACCTATTACGGCAGTCAACACCAACCCCTTCCAACACTGTGATGAGACTTACCTCTTCTGATCGTCGAACAGATGACGACAGAAGACCTTGTTGTCAGGCTGTGGTGCGGGCTCCTCCTCGCCCTGCATTATGTCCAGAATAGCCAGGCCGTCCTGACCATACCTGGGGCAGCACTTAAATAGCAACGAAGGGGCGGAGCGATGCTACAAACGATAAACTGCTTTCCTCGACGGTATGCCTTGCTTCTCGAAGTCTTGCGATAATTTCATCCGAGGCTGACCGTTCAGCTCAACCAGCTTGTATCTGTTGAACCCATTGTTGGAAAATGTGCACATGGTCAACTACATGTGTGACCTACGATATGAAATTTTCGAGGAAATTTCCGAGAATTCTCGTTGGTTTCTGCACATTTCTACCCGAATTCGTATATAAACTCTTCTACTCAGTGAGGAAACTTCTCAGTTCAGTTGCGGAAAACGCACATATATTCCAACACCGATTGAACCACGCCCTCAACTCAGTAACGCAGCTCTCTTGCCTACACCATCCCCAGCGCCGGCTGGGCTTGACATGTCACCAGGTTGGTGCCGATGCCAAAGGAGTCGATAGAATGAGGTTGGTCATGCAACGATAGCAGTACCGCTTCGTTGATATCATTAGAGGCTACTATACGGGCTGAGACGGATAGCATGAAAAACAATCAAACAGAGAATATTGCCTTCTTACATTTTGCAATAAACTGGAAGCCTTCACTAGCATAAGCATCAGCAGTAGCAGAGAACACTTCTCGTGCTCTCATACTCAAATACCTACAATGAGGGCAGAAATTGGAGAAAAAAATATTCTTTCCAACAGTACGAAAAACTTTGCGGATAAGAAAATTTACTCGAGGAAAAAATGGGAAAATTTGGGAATTCCCAAAAGACACCTTACGCGAGGTCCCCACTGTCCAAACGGATGCCGACGGCCTTTATCCCAGCGATCCGCCACAGAGCGAGGGCGACACTGAGGTAGTTGGGCACGCCCGACAGAATTGTCTCATAAGTGTCAACAAGTGCCAAAAATGTGGTAGGAAACGCTTGGGCGTAGCGGATGAAAGCTGCCAGTTCTCCATCGTTACAGCAGTTGACCTGAAGATTCACCCTTAGACCGCTGAGACGCCACTCCCACTCCCCACCTGAAAGCCTATAGCATCGCATAACTCCTCGCGAGCACTGATGCACGCCTGCACAAATTCACGCGTGTTCACTTTAGCAGACTTCGATTGGGCTGAAGTGCGGTAACATGTGCAGTTATTGTCTCCCCTCTCCGCTACGCTCGGGCGACATCCTCGTCTGCTCCTCCAAATCTTCAAGCGAATAAAAGCTATTTACAAACGCGTGTGCATGCGTGCCAGCAATAGGAATACCAAATACATGTCCAGCTTTAACATTCGACGTACCTGGCATATTAATATCAACCTAGAAGACACAAGCCAGGCGCGCCCACCGTCGAAGCCTCCAACGTAAGAATACCGGCTAGCAGTCAACGCGCCGTCCGGACCCTGAGCACGACGGGCACCAAATTCGAGTAGTTGCGCCTCGTCACCAGCAGCTATTCGTAGACGTGCCGCTTGAGTGGCAACCTACAGATGATCGTAGAATTCAAGTCCAAGTGATATTGCTAGTACCAGACAAGGAAAGTTGACAAGATTGAGTATAGCAGTCTCCATGAGTTGGCATACTATCAGCGGCCCTGCCACTCTCAGTACAGGCTCTCGGGGGAAGACAAACTGACGATAACACAGTCGACAGCGAAGGTTCTATGAAGTGTATCACATCGCCCTCCCTGACGGCATGCATAGTGATATCCCGCGCGTCTAGTGTGAGCAAATACTGGAAGAATTCCGGATCAGCTTCGGGCATTTGACTCTGATGAAAAGGTTCACCACACGTTGAAAATTGCAAGGAACGGTTACTTGGAGATAGTCAATATGCAGCTGAGTAAAGCGGAATGTATTCACATATCGGACAACTTCGTCGATACCTAATCAAACTACTCAAAGCCCAGCAGCCCCAAGCAATAGTACCTGCACACACCGTGAACTCCCCACCAAAAGGGCACTTCCTGAAATACACGTCGAAAACCGCATGGTCCTTATCCTTTCCAGACTTCCTAAAGAACAACTCTCTACCAGCGATGCACCGCGAAGGGACAGAACTTACCAATAAGCATAAGCCATGGTAATCTGATAGAGATCTGTGAAGGTAGCCTCGATGATGTCGGAATGAGGCTCCCCCATATCACTGTCGCATCGACACCGGGAAAATGCATGACCGTCACTAGCTGGAGAAAAAAACAAAGTGTGGCACGGCATCGAACCTCTTTTGAATCTTCCACAGTTGAGCTAAGATTCCCTTACGAGATTCACATGCAGCATATCCCCTTGCAATGTACGAGCTGCTCCTCTCCTTATGGCAGTCCTCCTCCTCCCTCTCCCCTTGCGATTCTCTATCGCCCTTCAAGCCAGGTATCTCTAGAAGAGTCCCGCATTGTGATGATGATGTAGGCTGTGACATTGTGGGGGATGGTGACAGTCACACTTGTATGGACGGCAAATGGCTCGACGACCCAATACTTCAACTGAAACCGGAAATTGCCAAGTCGCCCACTGAACTCACTGAACACAACAGGCGAGACATATCACGAATATATAATAAACTTAGACGAGAGTTTACCTATGGAAGAACTGGCCATGTATTGATACGTTATCGGCGTTCATCGTACAGGGATGCTGACCGCAGGATACGAGACAATACCAACTATCACATAACGCAAGGAGTCGGAGTTTTCTTATCGATATCGCTCAGCTTCATTTCTGTGGAGAGTAGTGGAGACATGATGACACATGACGGATATCGGTTTCCGGATACCGGTCTCGAACCTATTGGCAACCTATTATGTGTTCTGACATAAATGACTTAGTGCCACAATGGCAAGCTGTGTCATCATGTCTCCACTATTTTATAAGATGGAACACGCGCCCCAAAATCGAGTTTCAAAGTAGGCGACCTCTGGCTCAATGAGTGACCTTGGGCCTTGACGACAAATGCCGTCTTCCAGGCTCCCTGTAGGAGACGAAGCGATTTGATAAGGGCAACTGATCCAAGGAAGTTCCGGACCAAACTCTGTGGCGGCTATGTCATCGTGGTCGTCAATCAAGGTGAGCATCAAGTCCCTTCCGAATCCAGATCAAGAGGCGAACCTCACGCATGTTGATTTCCGACGGTCACACTACGACCTGCTGTGACGACTGCTCTTAGGGGGGTCAATTGGAGGATGCCTCTATGTATACTCGGATGAGTATTTTCGCGCACACCTTGCATGAACCCTTTCATGGTTCACTCATGTAGACCACTCTCAAGTATATGAAGTGATTGAATAATTTGCTATCAAGGCCTACTCTGAATAACTGAGTACCTATCCCCGTTGCTGGAATCGTCACAAAAAAGCTCGAGCATTCCCGAGGGATCAGAGTTAGACCACGAAGGTTGGACCGAGGACTCCAGCGCCTGATCAAGTCGTATGTATAGAGCAAGTCTCCGGAGTGAGTTGAAAGAGATGCCGAACTAGGCTTCTGGCTTTGACCAGGCATAATAACCCTTTGAACGTTCGAAAATACCCAACAGTCGGGTCCAAAACGTCTTGCAAGGAACACCACTGAGGTGTGGTGTTCCCTAGAAGACGTATTGAACTGCGAGTCCAATGTTAGACAGAGTCGGTAGAGGGTACTAAGAAGGACCATGACCATTATTTTTCGCGCTCGCGAGTTTCTGACGCGAAAAATTGGTTGGCCCTCCGTAACTGATCACACCATCCACCGGCTCAACTCCAAGAATACTTCCAATGAGAGTCCTGATGAAGGATCGCCCTATTGTTCTCACCTGCGATGTGAGCGGACCAACTCCTTGAGCTACCGACCCCGTCACGTTATAGACCTGTAACATCATCATAGCTAACCAAGGATGACTATGATCATCCTATTATCTCCCCAGCTGCGGAGAACTGTCTAATCTTGATGCAAGCAGGTGGACCTCCCCGAGCCCTACACCACCTACATTTACCACCTGTCCAAAGAGCGGGCAACCGTGAAAGTGCATCACTGAGTGGCTCACTTTGATGTCCGGCTGACTCGTTGGGTCCACCACAAAGTCTACATGTACGCGTCCATGCAACGAAATCTCATGCATCTTCCTACACAGTAAATTGACCGAGCAGGCACGGCCCATTCAAGCTATTACTACCGCGGCACTCCATTAGGTCTCGCTGCTAACATACCAATAGCCACTCAGCAAACACGGTCTATCCTCACCCCTCTGGCCTCCTCGTAATAAGCACGGACCCCTTCACCCGCGATCAGTCATCCGGAATCCTTCACTAGAATGTCCCTTATGCACAGGTCCAGCAGATAACGCTGCTCACCAAGATAAGACGACACTCACTATCAGAGCATCACCTTCCATCCTAGAGTCACTACCACAACCCCTGGAGAGCAGCCAGCCCAATGGCTGGGACTCTCCCACAGCGTCGTAAAGATGGTCGGGCCTCCATGCTCAGTCCTCCACGAAAGTGTAAACCTAGTAAGTTGATTCCCAAAGCCAAGACACAATCCTGCCCGAAGTCAAACAACTGCAGAGTATAGAAAGAGACTATGATAATGAGTGACTAAGCATCAATAATAGGGCTGACCAAAAACTTTTCTATCGTAGTCTAACTGCTCCTCTGACCGCTGCGAAGCAACAGCACGATCATAACGGGAGTGATACGGTGGTAGTAGCATCTCCTTAGCGGTTTCGGATAAGTTCAGCTTGGCGATTTCGGCCGGACTACAGAGATACCTACACGGGAAGTTCAATTCAAACTAAAGTTGAATCCACTCTCGAACGCTTCTTACCCTCTGGCGTAAGCACAAGTTGCAGGTCCAAAGCGGAACAGCAGAGTTCTCCTCGTATGTGTTCCTTTCCACGGCAAAGTCCCATGCATCAACGCCTCAGTGAATACGAGGACATCTCCAGCCTCCATTCCTGGCTGGACCTAGAAGAAACCCACCGACAACGAGTGAACCTTGATCGTCGGGTGTATCACCATCATGCTCTTAACAGCTGGATGCCTGGCATGCAGGATATCATCTGTAGCTGGAAAACTACACTTATGCGATCCTGGAAGGGCTACAAAGCCACCAGCTCCCTGGGCCATATCGCTGACGGCAATTGAGACCGCCAATAGACTGGTGTGGACTGACGTGTTGTCAACGGATCTGAGGCGTGGACAACTGTGTTGCTGCTGTCCCCAAGACAGATGGGACAATCGGGAAAATAGTAACACAATTGTTTACAGACGATTCCTTCGGAATATAAAGGCCGTCCTTATAGTCTCAGTGTGCATCATAGCTGCTCGCTCACTGCTACTTCCAGCGAGGAATTCGATACGAAAAAAAAACTCAAGCCACTGACCGACTCACGTATATGCTACTGGGAAGTTGATGTCGCCAGATGGGAGTAGTCGACCACCATGAAGGTCGAATCCCTCACCACCCGGATTCTGCTCAAAAGCCAGCGGAAAGTGGTCAAGTCGGAAACCCTGAGTATAATGACAATGTCATACACTCGCTTGCACTTATTATTGCTTTTCCACAGATCTCCTCTATCACTGGGTTCAATCGAGGATGCTCAAAGATACTCGCGCACACCGAAGATTCTTGCGTCCATCTCTACAATGATACACATACGGTCGCCCTGCTGAGCAGCTGAGCATCTACCTGCAAAACTTTACCGTAATCCGATCGTCCCGAGTTTCCCTTGAAGAAGTCGCTACGGGCCGTAGCAACACCCTCGTTTCTTGCCACAAACTCGTCTGCATATCTGTGGAAAACCTCCTTTCACCAAGTTGTGAATGTCGCTTATACCTATCGAAAAGGCTGTCGAGCTCTGAAATTTCTTCCTTGGTAAAGACTTTCTTCAACACCAAGTAGCCGCAGCTGTCAAACAACATTCTTTCGACAGTAGCCAACCCTTTCGTGACTTCAGGACTCGACATAAATATACACGTCAAGCCGCTTAACTTTGCATGACCCTTCTCTGTTCGCCTTAGTACAACACAACTCGCTATCTGATGATGATAGTCTTCCCTGTGAGCCAAGGCACGGAGAAGGAAACAGAAAAAGATACTGGCAATAACAGTATGAAGTATGCACTCAGTCGCGCTGATCATTGCAACGTTGACCAAGGCAATTTTACACTGAATCGAAGCAGTAGAAATACGCTATATGAGCGATAAAATTGCGAGAGATCAAAGAACAGATTGCTGTGAAAAAATATCAATGTTCAAGTTCTGTCATCCTCGCATCCTTTCAAAGTCTACCTTGACGAAAAGTACCACTGGAAGAAGACTCAGTCAATGGTTTACCAGGAATCCACAACCGGCTTTTAATAACGTATAGCTGACTGAAAAGTAGTGAATACATAGACCTTTAACTGGAGTCTAAACCCAAGTGGCAGTAGGCACTTCATCTGTGTGCTCTTCGAGATAAGAAAGCAATTTCAAATGGTTCACGAGATCCCTGATCTCGTTGATATTGTCTACTCCTGATGCAGGACACGGAACACTCGATGTGGCAGTCGGGAGCCTAGGAGAAGGGCGATTCTGAATCTTTGATATGACCGGCTTCTTCCCCTTCGCGAGATATTTGGGACGGGGCACTGCAGAAGGGGCTGGCAATAGGCCTTGTCTGCCATTACTACTACCACTACCACCATCATCATCAACAACACGGCAACGTCCTACACGGCTACGACATAAAATGCTACGTTGTTGTTCAAAATAGTTTGAATAGAAGGAATCTTGTAAATCAGCAGAAGAAGGATTGTCCTCGTTAGTAGTGGCGGCGAGACCCAACCTTAACTCCTTCAACGTATGCGCAAAAGGACACTGTGGATCGCTACATTTCGGTTTAGCACAGAACTTAGTCATCGAGAGGTTGGGCTTTCTATTCAGCTCGTCAACCGAATGGGCGAAGGCACATAGAGGGCCGTGAAGGCAGCGACCACGAATGAAATACTTACAGACCTGAGTCTTGTACATACGCTTTTTGATGGGAGACCACTCTTGCGACACCTCAGCAATCTCAAGGGGTGTTGAAGAAGGGCTGGTGGTCATTTTAATGGCAGAGAGTAGGAGAACTAGAAGCTCACTGATACATCTACGAAAGGGGTGTGTAAGGCTCGATCTTGTCACGCTTGTCACGCATGCACATAAGTGACGTGACACACGAAGCCATCACGTATTCGAGGCGAGGTGGGTTAGAAATGGTCTTCATTAGCGACCTATGAGTCATCTCAACGCGGCTAGTATGTCCTACTGCGATATTATTAATATTCTTCTTAACGTTCACATACTCGAGTTGACAGTGCCAACACCGCTCGGCTATCGACACTGACCCCAGACAACTTGCATAAGTGTCGAAGAGTGACCCGTGTACATAACACAAGTCTTCACGTGCATCAGCTTGGCCCAAGCTGCTTGGGTACGGGCAGGTCTAATTCATGACGTCAAAGACGTCTGAATTATCGAAAGGAAAGTCTAGAGCAGTACGGGTGTAGTCGTAAAGGGTACGTGTGTACCAAAATTGAGACACCTCTAGAGTAAAGCGCGCACGCCCACAAATTGCCCACAGTTGGCCGTTCCATTGCCCTGAAGGAAGTAACGAGAGTAAGGTAAGGCTTACTGAAGTGGTTCTGGCGTGTGATTCTTATAAATCTCCACCGCTTGGGAATCCATAATCGGAAGAATTCACTAGACGAGTTGGAGAGGGCTGAGATGTCAAGGCCCGGCCTAGTGTGAGCCAAACACTAGCCGTCTACACTGCAGAAGGACCAGTAGGATATCAAACGACTGAGACTCTCCCATTGGTAGTAAAGGCATTTGCCACATAAGGTTAACCGTGGTTGCCAAGGGTCAGCTCCGCTCGCTATACGGCCACAATACGCCGTCCGAATTCTGTTAGCTGTTCGCTATCGCTGTTGGCCTACACACGGATGAAGTCGTCAGTCTGGTCGCAGCATCCATAAACCAATCTTCTATCCAGCCGAAGACGACTTTCCCATATCGCTCTTATGTAGTTTTATAGTGTTTCATATCTAATGGCCGAAGCCTCGTCCTCTACAACACCGAAAGGCCTCTCGGCATCTGAATTCGATCGTACCTCGCCTCCTCCTACCAGAATGGACGACACCATCGACATTTTCCTACGGCCCGAATACCGCCACTTGACCTTCATTAACAAGGACCAGGCCGAGTACAGTAACCTCACCTACTGGCAACGTATCAAGATGAACCCACAAGTCATCTTTGAATCCTGTATCGGTCGAGCCGTGTCCTCCTACTTCATGGGAGGGGCTCTCGGTCTCCTCATGGGCGGTTTCTTCCATACAATGCAACCCATAGACGTCGATGCGAGTCTCCCATTCCGCCAACAGGTTCGCCAGGCATACAAAGGCTTCGGACAAGCGTCCGTTTCGATGGCCAAAGGATTCGCAGTGGTACTACTCACCGGGTGCGTCGCTTCGCGAACACAATTGAGAATTTTCATTTCAGTGTGGTGCCGTGTACTCTGGTGTCGACTGCTTCGTCGAGCGTGCCAGAGGATCTCATGATCTCAACAACTCTATTTATGCTGGTTGTCTTACTGGTGCCGCTCTAGCTTACAAAGGAGGCCCTCAGGCTATGGCAATGGGCTGTGCTGGTTTTGCTGCTTTTTCTATCGTTATCGACTCTTTCATGTCTACTGGCGATAAAGATGTCCATAAATGGTGACTGTATAGTTGAAACACCGCTACTGTTTCTGTGCAACATTATCACACCACTGGCTGAGTTCCTGGTCCTAATCATTTGCGTTGCTCAAATTAAGCTCCAACACAACCACTACTTTAACCACGACAAAAGGGTGAATGAGCTCATGGGAATACATGCCAGACTAGTATACAATTATACTACCACTGGTCGCCTGGGCGGCTACGTTCGTTCCCATCAGTCCACCAGTACCTGATCAAACGATATATCATCGGCATTGCCCTCTACTATTCTACGGCTCAGTAAGCAACTGAGTGTTAGTAGTATCCACAGCAGAACTTGGCCGCACTCTCTCAGCTGTTGGCAGTATTGCCTAAGGTCAACAAGGGGCCCTCCTAACATGCCGCAGATTCACAGCTTACACGACTGCTGGACGACTGACTACCCCGTGAGGATGGAGATTTCCGACCCTGAGTAGCAAATACAACACGGTGATGATGATGATGATGATGATGACAGACAAACCTTAACGGCTCTGGTCTGTTGATAGTCTCGAGCAATAGCCATGGCCTGGTCCAGGCACCCGCATATCTCCGCCATACGCAACAGTTGAGGCACTGTAGCGCTCTTCAGTCTAGCAATACTATTGCAAACCTCGAAAAAAAGCAATGGAACGATGAGGCGGATAATAGAGAGAACCTACTGGTCGTAGTGCGGGATTACTACGAAGGCTCTGGGAGAGTATCGTTTTTAATCGACCCCTGCCAGCCTCCCCGAGTCGAATCTTCGGCAAGGCGCCCTATAGAATAAGATCGGTGTAGAAAGATATGCATATGGGCAACTTCACGTGACAATTGCGGGACAATTTCGGCAGCATTCCTAGACTAAGTCGTGGGTAAACTTCCAAAATGGTGCGATGTTAACAGAATGTCAGAATGAAACGACACAAGAACTGATTAACGCCTTGTCATGACCTCCCTTTACCTCAGCCGTATTCAAGTGGTCCAGAGGGAGCCCAGTGAACGAAAGCTCTCGCGGAGGGGATTCTCGGCAACCCTACGACAACGGATCGAACAGCACAAGGGGGGCAAGTTCCTTACTGCGTCTGGGTTGGTCGAAGCCGCTACTGCAGATGGCGTTTGATAGTGCATCTGCGGAGACTCTGTCAAGCCTCCCCAGGAGGTGGACTTGGGTAGAGCAAATGAGTTCTCTCGATGAACTGAACGATTCATAACATACTACCAAAAGTATCATTTCCGTATATTACTTGGGAAACCAAAGATACGAGACGAATGATCAAGGTCGAATCGATTAGCTGCATTCCGGCTTTGCACTGAAATGAGAAACTCTTCTACCCAGCGGTGGAATTAGTACCAGTCAATGCGGTTTGAAGGGCAGCATTCAACTGGGCATCATTAGACGTGGAAGAGGTACTCCCTAAGGGCCCTTCTTCGAATACGCGGTTACGAGAGGAGTTCAACGATAATGGTATCTGATGACATTACTATTCACACGCCACAGTAGTGCTAGCCATCACCTGTCTCGGTAGTTCCATTCGAGTTTGGGGAGGTAAGACTAAGCGTAAGTCCTCAGGGTTAGGATCGAGCCGATCGGCGGTCGAGATGGCATGATGAGCGTTCCTTGGGTCACTCACGGAGGCGGAACTGCACGCTGTTTCGTCTGCCGATATTGTTCGTTGACGCTTAGTACCTGGAAAAGGGCTGCGGTGATTCAGAGGGCATACACCGATGCTATCATTCCTACTATCACCACCACAGAAGCTTTGATATCACTTCTGATCCAAAGGAGAAAGAGTTCAACGAATGATGGTTTGAATAACAAATTTATAAATGGTTTAGCAAATAAAATGTCTACGCTGTCATCAACGGCTAACTTTTATGAACGACTCCGGACTATGAGTAGGACCACTACTTCGATTCCAACTAATATCAATACTAATGCTATCCCCTCGAAAATGAATGTCACTACTACGGCTATTACTCTGCTCCACAGTCGATGTTAGAGGGTGTTTCGTAGAAGGCGATGATGACGATGTGCCTGAACACTCGTTAAGCAACAAACAATTTTTATGTCAATGAGATTCTGCAACCGAGGATCGATCTCGCAACCATCGGATAGGTAAGGATAGGACGGACCCGTCACCTACTCGGGTGAAATTCCGTGTTATCAGTAGATTGCATTGTAGCGAGGGCAGCTAGAATGGCTTTGGACCTGAGAAGTGAGTCATGAAAAACAGTATTTTCCGGTCACACGCTCACCGTGGAGAGCTCCAGTCGTCACAGTTCGGTGCGAAAGCATTAGGGACACGAGACATCACTGAACAGTAGTAGAATCATCATACCCGTCACCCGTCAATGAGGCTTTGCGCGGCCAACCGCGCTCGCCATTGTAATCGATAAATGAGGACACTGCGTTCATATGATGACTCCGAATACCGCAGCTGAATCGATAGACTTCAATGTTTATAGTAGTAGCGGATAGGGATTAAACTGCAGTGAAAACAGTAGTGATGGGCGGGAGGCGTTTCCGTGATTGGAATGCGTTTGATCAACTGCTGTGAGTCACCGGAGTGTGTTCGAGAGATGAACACTCGGGCGAGAATTCATCATGTTTCTGCATGGGACCTTCTGAGGAAGCAATGCGGTTTTGTTGCATATACCAGTACTCGTGCTCGATCACGTGAATATAGAGGAGGGGCCTGGGACACTGGCAGAAGGGGAAGCTGGATGCCTTCAACTCCGTGGAGGGAGAGGGATGGTGACGATCATATGTTGTGACAGTATTGTTCGGTTATTATCGGGGCATCGCCTCTCCTTTTTTATTAAACTGAATGAGTGGCGGCGGCCCCCAGCCGCCTTTCACAAGGCAATTTCCGGCATCTCCATCATCATCGACCTCTAGAGGTGTGGTCGAAGGCAGTGGCCAGCAACAACAACAACAGACGCCCCAGCAGCAACAGCAAGTTCGGTCATCATCCCAGCTCGAAGGGTGCTACTACCCACCCCCGCCCCCACAGGGCTTCACTGGTACTTCCGAGATGGGTGGTGGTAGTGGATACCCAGCCGCACCAGGCGGGGTGTATGCAATGCCTGCCCCTGCTGCTGCTGGTGGCGGCGGCCACTTCATGATACCTGCATATCCTATGGGAGCCTATGGACCAGGCAAGAATATGGCATCACCCATCATGGGCAATGTATTGCCTGCTATGGGTGGACACCAACAACAACAACAACACCCCCACCAGCAGGGAGGAGGAGGAGGTCTCGGGTTCAATTCCCGGGGAGGAATGCAGCAACTCAGTAGTACTCGAGAAGGGGGGCTGGGCCATAGAACACAGATTGGATCTCAGGACCACACAACAGACGTGGAGGGATGCCAGGCAGCTCCAAGCAGTTGGTTCACTTTGACGAGTCCTTAGCGGCAACCCAGACCGTCGACCGTGCTATTGTGAGTGCACTGAAGCAACCACAACACAGACTTTTGCTGCTGGAGATAGAGCCTGCTATACACAAGATGGTAGGAGGCAGGGGGAAGGACGGAGGTATGGACGATAGTGGTCTCCGATTGTGGTAGATCACCGAGACCGACTCGGAAAGGCTGAAGCTCACGAATCCACTTGGAAAATATCAGAGAATGCTGATACATAAGCTCGGGGACTACTTTAGGTGAGTCCTGCCATTGCTGACGATATAAGCGACCCCCGAGTGTTAGAATGGATCGAGAAGTTGACTACGCCAAAGGCTCTGATATGTGTACCGTAACTCTCGTACGAACTGAGCGGACGTGCGTGCCTAATACCATACTCCAAGAACTTTGTCGGAGTGCACTAGAAGCAGCCGAGATGGCTGATGGCGGCCAGCCCTGGCCATACGTGCCTAGGCAACAGCAGCAGCAGCAGTCTCACAGTCGTCAACAACAAGAGTCTGACAGCAATGTGGCGCGGCGAAGTGTAGAGCGAGCTCATTCCGATGAAGGGGTGCTTGAGGTGAGTCGGTTACGGCTAGGACTCTTTCTTAGGGATTGGCTCTCCCTTAGGGTGGTGTGGACGAGCATTGCAGTGATGTGAGAGGCACCTGTAGTGAAGGGGGTGCTTCAGCTGAAAGGACCCCATCAGAGACTGGAGAGGACCCGGCAGCAGCCACTGCGGGGGTGAAACGTCGTGGGGTGAAGATTCTCAGGAGGGGCCCTGGGTCCAAGGGCAAGAATACGAGGGCCTCGAGGCCTGATGAGTCCTCGAGTGATGAAGGCGGGAAGTATTCAGAGGCTAATCTCTTACATAACCTTCCGGTGAGGTTCTATATCGTCTCCTCATGCACTTGCTTCATATCTACGTAGGTTGACCTACGGGAAGAGCATTACAACAAGATTCGGGCTAAGATTTTTCAAGAGGACGATGGTACACCGTTGGTATATTCGAATGAAGACCTGGCCGCTATGGAGAGCGCTCGGAAGCACATCCCCAAGGGTACCGATCTGGACGATCCAGAGTAAGGCTTTGAAACGGCTAAGTCCACAATCTTATCCTCATACTCTCTGTCAGTTACAACCGCCAAGCAGTTTCTATAATACCACAATTAGGCCGCGTGCAGCAAGCGCCTCCTACGCTACTCAGCGACCCTGCGGCATATAATGCGGCATTTCCGGTACTCGGCGGGAGACCGTCTTTTGAGGATGAGACTCGGAATAAGGATACCCGACGCAGAGGGGGGAACAAGAGGCAACAACAACAGCAGCAGTTCAAGCAGCAACAGTACAGTAGCAACGCGGGCGGCGCGCCGTACTCTCATCACGTTGTTCCGATGTCTCCTATGATGCCATTGCCACCGGGGGGCGCCCCTGGTACCACAGCTGATGCTGCGACGATCGCTGCCTTCCAGCAGGGATACATAGCTGCGACTATGGCCGCTGCCGCAGCTGCCCAACAACAAGGTGTAGCTTGGACTCCGCCTCCTCCGCCCCCTTCTATCAACTTTCCGTCATCGCAACCACAACAACAACCAAAGGACAGTCTGCTCCCCATCCCTAGCGGCGGTAGTCCGGCTCAGTTCGCTGGATACTATCATCAGCCTCATGGGATGTCATTCCCGGCTGAAGGACCTACTGGTGTTCAACAGCAGCAACAGCAGCAGCAGTGGGGAGCCGCCCTACCCTCACCACAGAAGGGTGGTAGAGGAGGGGGAGGCCGTCACGGAAACGCTCAGGGTGTGGGGAGAGGCAGTAGGGGAGGATCGGTCCAGAGTCATCATCAGCAAGGTGGTAGTAGGAAGTCGAGTGACATGGTGGTAGGCTCGTCATTCCCTCAAGCTGGATGGGCTGATCCACAGCTACCGTCACCACAGGGGACGCCGAGGCTACAACAACATCAACAGCAACCACCGCTTGATCTCCTTCGACAACAAGGGAGGCTCCTACAGCAGCAGCAGCAGCAGGCTCAAAGATCAAGTCAAACTGGACTGGATACAATATCGAGAGGCGAACCCGGTAGCATGAAGAGCAGTGTGGCCGCTCAAGGTGGTTCGGATATCCAGAGTGCTTCCCTAGCTGAGGGATCTACTGCTACACCCACTGTCGGGGGATCGACACTTTAGTGTTACACGTGACATATGAGTCGCCAGTGCTGGCTGGCTGACACGGATGATACTACTCTCGTATGTGGCGGCGCCTTCGTGTTGCTTCAGCTCATCAAGACTGCTTTTGTTGTCTGCACACTCTTGGTCGTGTATTCTTTTTGTCCTCTCATCGCCCTCTTGTCCATTCTTGTGCAACTATCACCTGCTTCTCGTCTTCCTCACTACTGCTGCTGTAGATAGGACTAGGGGTTATGATGATGATCATAGTATTGCGACATCTACTACTTACCATTATCAACAACATCGTAAATCAACATCGTCCTGTGGTGTTTTGTCAACCGGGTTGTTGGGCGGCATTCTCCCTCCGTGCCATCGAATTAAACAACAACAATCAACAACAACAATCAACAACAACATTCTACATTTAACAATCGACAACAACAATCAACAATCGACAACGACAACGACAACAATCAACATTCAACCATCAACACTCAACACTCAACAATCAACACTCAACAATCAACATTCAACAATCAACATTCAACAATCAACACTCAACAATCAACATTCAACAATCAACACTCAACAATCAACATTCAACAATCAACACTCAACAATCAACATTCAACAATCAACGCAACATTGCTGCTGCTGCAGCAACAACTGGCGTCACTACTCCTTACCACCATGGACGAGGGTCAAGAATTCAACCCATTTCCCTAGCGTGAAGTTAACAGCAGAGTGGCCCTAATCCACCAGTACGACGGGCCACCGCTAGGCAAGATTAATGTCAACACATGCTTCTCGCATGTTTCATCTATGTTATCGCCATTGGAGTTGCTATGGGGATATTGACCATAGATTGAGGCTGCGATACTTCCTATGACCATGGAGAAACTCCTGTGGGGAGGGGTTGGCAGCAAGCCACCCTTGAAGAAATCAAGAGAGTGTAGTGAACTCCCTCCTACAAAGATACCGTATGTAATTTGTGATATTATTGTGTAATTATCTGAGCTAGGCTGTGCATTTGTCTCTCCTCGCTAGATGATGTTTTGAACGTATTACGATATTGTGGTGCATATTTGAGCATCAGATCAGTATCTCTTCCTATATCCCTGTTACTGACTGAAGTATGGTTTTGTTAAGTCAAGAGGGAAATTACAACAGAGGCCCCATCCTGCCCTCCACCGCCTACGAGTTCGGAGGAGGGGATAACGCCCTCAGACGACCACGTCTTCCGAGTCGGGCATATTCAGACCATCAAGGAGGTGCAATAGTAATCCCATGAGGACTCCATAATATTGTTCAGGCGCGCCACAGATTACTTGCACTTATACTGTATAAGGCCAATGTGATCGTACCGGAACCGATCAACAAAGTGAAATGTGTTCCGAAAGCTCTCGTGTAGGGACTTGAGGACGTGTGCCCTGCTGTTGATGCGGATAGTGTTCGGTTCGAGTTGATACTGTCCACTGGTATAACACAACAATGTGACGGGTACCAATCACAGCATGCAGGTAGATGTGCAGAGACTTACGGGGGAATTATACGCTACACGGCAAAGTCAACAATTATAGTATAATGTGCTCAGGGAGAATCTGATGATCGACCGCCATGGTAACTCTTAATTGTCTTCAACAGGCGATTCCCATGACCAGAGAGTTGCCGTTTGGGCGTTATAGTGTCACCGTCTATCACCAGAGCTATACGGCTGCACAGCTCAGGAATACCTCAAAAAAGCACGAGTGAAAATGTGCATTCATAGTCGACCTACAATCAGGCTTGCGCATGACACAAGTAGATAGCAATAGGCTTCCGTTACGGTTGTTCGCTACTCCGAGAAGGTTCTCAACTAACAAGAACGATTACACCACTTTCCAGATGAGCAGAACCCACTGGTGTAGATAACTGCGTCAACGAACTGATCCACGTGGACTCCAGTAGGGAGTACATCCGCAACAGCTTCCAACAACGTGAAGCAGGAGGGCTCATTCAACAGATCCGACAACTTATTTTGGAGCACTTCGGCAATTTCGATGATGCCATCAGGACTATAACACTCCAGTCTAACAGTCACTGTTAACCAAGCTTACGGGTTTTGTCTGTTCGCCTTCAATCGACACCCCATTTCGAGGAGGACCTTCGATCCTGCAACGTCTCGAGCGATCGTTACCAAGTCCGGGGCAGTGACCAGCTCCTTCAAGAGGATGCAGACATCAGAACTGAAGAGGCTGTTGATATAATGCCACGGGAAGATGATACCGCTACGGATCCATGTAGTGGCATAGCTCTTGTATGAAATAGTTCCCATAACGGTCAGTAGCCAGCATGCGAGTAGAAGGCCGACACTCCTCCACAAAGGAACGGATCTCTTCAGGGGAGGCAACACCAGATGTAAGATGCCCCTGAGGCTACGTTAGTGCAACCACACCAAGACGTTAGGTCTCACCTGTAGGAGTCGAGAGCCAGCGCCCCCCACGGCCAGGGAAACCACCCGACCAGCCAGTGATGTTCCCGATTGTCTTCTTCCCTTGGTCGGACCCGCACTGCCGCTACGCTCCGTCCGTCCTCCTCCTCTCTCCTTGCGCTGGTTGCGCTTCACCGAGGTCCTGGTAGTGGGCGCCGGCTGCTGCTGCTGCGTCTGGTACGACTCAGTAGGGTTTGTCGGGTTGATATTATAGTTCCGAACTGACAGCAGTACTACTGAGGACATTTGAGGCTACCACTCTGGTACAGATCTCATTGGTGGCATGTAGTTGGCCTAAAACCCATGCTTGTTGCTGTAGTAGAGCCAGCTGTTGGACTATGTCATACTCGTTACCACCCAGGAGTGGCGCAATGCCGTTGAACGGCAGCGACTGACAGACAGATACGAGTATCCTAGAAGATAGAGGCTTACATTAGGAAGATATCCAGCAGTGTATCTAGGTGGGGGAGCGGACATGGTCATCCCATCACGCTCCTGTGGTCCTCGACCAGTCCGGGCGGCCTCATCTAGAGCTCTCTCAAGAGGTCCGGTAGCTTCTGAGACACTGGGTGATCGCATGACGCTACATGGCACTGACCTCGAGGATTGGGAATAGGGCCAGATGGGCATTCCTCCAAAGAACTCCCAGAGGAGTCCTCCCAACTGGAGACGGAGCTCTCCGACAAGGACCGCTGTCGCCCAGCCTTGCGCTGCTGTGAGCCGCCGGGGGGCGGGGCAGTGGGAAAGACCTGGGCCGCGTCCAACATGCTGCATCTGCAGGTGATTAAATTTCGAAATGATAAAATTTCCCATACAAAGATCGCACGTGTTGGTCATAGGCCTGAACGCCATAGTGATGCTGTCAGAGTCTCCTCCACTGTCCCCCATTGGCGTCGGGAAAAGTGGGGATGCTCTCTCGCCATACGGTTGGAGTCCTGGCGGTTCACGCTGCAACTCACCATTCTGTTCAGCGACCTGTCACTGAACATGCACTAGGGTCACCGATAAGGGCTTACAGCCGGAGCAGTAGCATCAGCAGTACTAGGAATTAATAGACATCCAATAGGATACGTCGGGAGGTCCAAGAATGGATCGGGAGTAGCGGCAAATGGGGAAGAGGACCTTGCGGACGAGTTGCCCTTCACCACAGCCACTCGACCATCAGGCTTACCGCCAAGTGACGTGGGAGAAGTCCCTGGGGAGGAGCCCATCTTTAGCGTCCTCTCCACTGAGTGGTACAGCGTGGTCCTGTTTCACTTGAGTGTCAGCAACGGGAGAAGAAGAAGACGAGGACATCCCAAGCAGTAATACTGATACTATGAATTGACTTATACTGAACACAGCATAACGCTGGACACCCCGACGTGGACGAGTATATGAAGTCTACATAGAAAAAAACCAGGCAGATCTACCCGTACGCGCCCGAGAGTCAATGATGTAGAGGGGGAAACATACGCGTGATCCACTACATGTGTCGGTGCCAATAGTAAGATGAACTCGTGGTGGGTTTACCAAAATGTCGTCAATTCTGATAAATGCAAACGACGCCTTATCGTGATGAGGTAACCACCAACGTGCTGCTCCGGGTTCTGTGGCATCCAAATTCTCACCTGCACAGACAATCAGTAGAAAAGTGAAGAAGAGGAGCTCCTCACTCATTCGTTCTATTGCAACTCCGACCCCCGATATTTGTCCTCTCAGCAACCACACAAAAAATGAGCGAGAACCATGTGTGTCACGGCACCTGAACGACGACACCATGGCCATCCGATCGTCTAGCAGGAGGAGATTATCAGACCAACAGCGACGGCGACGACGACGACGACTACGACGACTGTGATAACTCCTCAACCGCCCTTCCCAATTCGGAGGTAGTTTCCTCCGACCCGACCGGAGAAGATATCGCAATCATCCCGTTGCTCATACCCCGACCAGATGAGGCATCTCAACTCGTCCCCTCATAAAGCGAATGCCTTCCTCATCATCCCCTTGTGATCTGCAGTCGTTTCACCTACGTCTAACTCATCCCGATCCTTCACACTCCGCTTACTCCCTGCTACTACTACTACCATCACCACCTCTACCCTCGACTATCCCCCGAGATCAGCGAAGGCTGCAGTCAGCTGTCCGTCCCCAAATCCCAGCCATTATAAATCACCGACACTCCACACAACACCTCGAGATGAAGGCACACCCTCAACCGACAGAGATGATGAACAGAAGCAACGCTACACCACTCTACAGAAACCAATAGAAACACAGTAAGATGCAATATTGCAAAGAATTCAAGCTGGACAATAGTGGATAACAATAACAACGAAGAGGTGACTACCCCCACTTCCTCTTGGCAGCACCATAGCCGTCCTTCATCCACCCTCCAACCTTCTTGCCACCCTTCTTAGTGTAGTCCCAAGTGACCTACACCGACTCCTCACTCCTGTAACTACCGAACACTACCTACCTCTCCACCGTGCTTTAGCTTATCAGATGTCGTCGACGTCGTAACATCACCAGGGGTGGCCGCCACATACGTCGAACCCGTAGAGTAATCAACCGTAGCCGTCGGCCTGAACACCACAGCAGCACTGCCCAGCCAGCTCATCTCCCTGCTAGTACTTGTATGATGATGATGACGACGGTGCACTACTACTAACAGGAGTAGAAGCTGCCGAAACCCCTCCCCCGACGGTGCCAGGAGCGATGCTCGGGCCGCTATCCACGACAGACCTCGGGGTATTCGGAGTTACACTAAACGACAGAAAAAGAAAAAAGGATCCATCACTAGGACCAGGACATACTTGAAATGGATTACTTGAAGCTACTGCTACTACGCACTGGGGGCGTGTACGAGCCTATCCTGCCGGGAGCCACCTTCACCTGATCATACCACATCATCGCTGTAAACATCACCACTACGCAACCTTACATCGAAAGAGCTAGCCGAAA